TATTAATGTTTTACTAATGCCATCTTGATTTACTTTTAAGAAATAGCAAAAGCTTTTATAAAAGAGATATTAAGGAATTTTAGGTTTATTCACTAAATTGGAAATTTGGAGAACAGATCACATTGCACAGGTTAGTGCTCCTCAGTTTCTGATTTAGTGAATAAACCCCAATGTCTCTGATCTAAAAGTGGGGCTGTTCAAAACACCCTAAACAAAATTGCAGTACTTACCTCACCCTTTGGTCACTAACTATATAGAATGGGTTGCATTTTCCATTTTTTTTCCGGTAATAAAGTGTTTAACTTACCTGATACTGTGTATCATTATAGCCATAATCCTTAGATTCTACTCTTTGAAGAAGTAGGCATTATTGAAGCAAAATAGTTCAAGAGGTTCGCTTTAAATGCTTACATCACAGATTAAGGTGAAAAGTACACAAACACAGTTTTAAAGCCTTACAAGGCTACTTAAAGGGAAACTATAGTGCCTATAGCTTTCCCCTATGTCAAGGCAGCCCCCCTGTGGTGCAGTTACTTACCTCCCTTCTGGCACTTACCTGGATCCAGCTCCAATGTTTCTCGGCGCAGGCTCAGCTCCGCCCATGCTCCTCCCCTGCCGATGTCAGCCATGGGAGAGACCTAATGCGCATGCATGGCAACAGCCGCGCTCGCATTAGTATTTCACTATAGGAAAGCATCATTCACTGCTTCCTATGGGGATTCCAGTGAAGCTGGAACTCATCATTCATGGCGTGAGGACATCCAGCGTCGTTTATGCAACCAAAATTCGCCTATCCACCTAGAGGTCCCTCTAGTGGCTGTCTAGTTAGAGGAGGAGTTAACTGCAATAATTACATGCTCAGGGTTAAGGGTGATGGGAGTTTGCCTACTGTGTCCTTTAACCTATCTCAACAAACACATATGGGGATAGGGTTACACCATATGGCCATATTGTGTTAAGCCCACTACTGCATCAATCACAGTTCCACTTATATTGGTGGGTCCTACACTGATTTAAACAAGGGAGATAAACACGCTAACTGCAATACTTACTGCTTAAAGGAACACTATAGTATTAGGAGTACAAAGCTCTATTCCTAACACTATAGTGTCGCCCCCCAGGGCTGGCCTTAAGGGGGCCATGGCAACAGGGGCGCTAGGCAGCCAACAAGGTTCACACACACAGGGACCTGCAATGCAGAGTTTCTAAAGCCAACCCAAATTAGTAAGAGAGGGGGCTGGGCTAAATAGGAGGCAGACCTCAAGGGCAGCCAGAGGGTCGGGGGGGCTAAATGCAGCCTGAACCCGCTGTTCTTACTGCTGCACACTGAAGGGAAGCAGGGATCCTCCAACTACTACAGACCAGGGACTGCACTGCCTCCATTCCTCCTCCTCCAGCCCAGAGTGAGAGAGAGAGTGTGTGCACACGTGCGTGTCTGCCCTATCTCCCTGGAATTGTGTGTGTATGAAATACTGCCTGTAACGATGTCTATGACTATCTGCCAGTAACGGTGTGTGTGACTGTGTGAAAATACTTGCCTGTGACTGCGTGTGTGACTCTGTGCATGCGACACGCAAATATATACACCTGCATTCACATGGGCCTACACGCAATTTTTAAATAAATCTGAATATCACTCACAGTCAATACAAACTGTGGTGTACACAAAACCCACGGGGCCCCGGTGCAAAACTGATCCATGCCCCCTCCCCCCCTCCCTCTTTCCCCCCCTCTAACTCTCCACCCGACAGACACACACACACACACACACACACACATACATACAGAGACACACACACACAGACAGATACATTCAGACACATACATACACACACGACACATACATACAAACAGACAGACAGACACACATACATACATACAAAGACACATACATACATACATAAAAACAGACAGGCACACACACGACAAACATACGTACAAAGACACATACAAACAGACAGGCACACATACATACAGACAGACACATACACATACAGACAAACATACATAAAAAGACACATACAGACAGACAGACACACACAAGACATACATACAAAGACACATACAAACAGACAGGCACACATACAGACACACACATACATACAAACACATACAGACACACAAACATACAAAGACACATACAGACAGATACAGACACACACAAGACATACATACAAACAGACAGGCACACATACATACAGACAGATAGACACATACATAATATTTAAGTCACCCTCCTGTTTCCTACCTTTTAGGTACAGGAGGATGACTTTCCCTGTGGTCCAGTGGTGGCTCAGGCTGGTGGGAGTCAGAGTGGGATCTGTTCTTCCCCCCGCGCGGGCTCTGTGTGTTAGTTTTGAGGAGTGACGTGCAGTCACTTCCTCCCAGCTTGTGATCTCATCACAGGGGGCCCGGTCGCACTGTTAAAGTGCCCAGCGCTGACCGGGCCCCCTGACAATCCATCTCAATCGGGTGGCCCTGACAGCATGGGCCACCCGATGGGCACCTTAACATGCAGGCCCAGCGGTTTACCGCGCGGGCCGGGGCCGCAATTGATGAGATGAGGGATCTGCAGGGCGGCCGGGTTCTCTGGAGTGACAGGCCCGGTCGCAGCTGCAAACCCTGCGACTGCGGTATGTACGCCAGTGAATACAAACCTATTTCACAAACAGTCAATATAGCTATATTAAACATCACGCACATTGATGCAGAGGCACAGACCAGATTCCCAGCACACTGGACCACCAGAGATCAACATGCCCCCCTCCCTGCAAGGTCACAACAGGGAAGGGGGAATTAATATATGGTTTTTTTCATTTTTTAAAAATAATTATTAGTATAATAAAGCCCCGTATACAAAGACTACACTCCTATGCACACATTATACATGGATGTGCGGGTGTAACCACAGGGGGGCCCTGTGAAGATTTATTTGTTTTATGCAAACATGTAGAAGATTTATTTATTATATGCAAAAACTAAAAAGATTTAAAATGCAAAAAATACAGCATATTAATGTTGCCAAAACCGAACAAATGCATGTAAGTAGCATTGGTGCCCAGAGTGTCCCTTTAAGGTAATCAGGGCCAGTGCTACAAAAGGCGGCAAAAGTAGCCGCCTTAGGACATACTGGCCAAGGGGCACAATGTCCAGATGACCAGCAGTAGGGGAGTGAGGTGTCCTGCTGCCAATCACTTAAATGTAGCGTGGCCCACCTGCAGCATCTCCTCCTATCAGAGCCTCAGGCTCTGGTGCATGCCAGAGGCTGTTGAGAGGGGCAGGGGTATGAATTATATCCCTGTTCCTTGTGTAGCAAACAGCACAGCTGGCAGCTATGTGACGGGGGCTGGGTTGCATTATTGGGACTCCGCTGAACTGGACAGCATACTCCCCAGGGACCTAATTTCACACAACTGAGTAGTAACTATGCAGTTATGACTGCATGTATGCCTGAGTCTGTACGTATGTCCAGTTGCTGAAGAAGTGCAATTTCCATAATGTTCACCCAGAATGTCTTGCTGAACATTCTGGAAGTTGTTTTTGCCACAAATGGGGATCAACCCATGACTGATCACTATTTAAAGCACCAGTGCAACTCCCCATCCGAATCCCCATCTGTGGCAGAAGTGCAGTACAACGTTTGATTATGCTCAGTCCCTGTGTAGCATAGCCAAGCTGGAACTGTAGATATTGCCAGCTTTTGCCTGTTACACTCTTTCCACCTGCAACACTCTCTCTCTCTGGTGTGTGGCCAAGCTTTGTGGGAGACAGGAGACATTTGTGCATCATGCCTCACATGGTCTGCAGGCTGAGAATTGATGGCTGCCTTAACATCTTGGCAGCACTACACAACCCAGTGGTGAACGGAGGGCATTTTATTGAATTACGCACAGAAGTCTGACGGCCCCACCACTACATCCCTACTATTACAGCAGAATGGTTGGGGAGTTCTCTGAATGGGATTTCAGAAATGATTTTGACAATAAAAAAAGGGCGGATTTCCAATAGCCTTGGTCACTTGGTCAGTAACAGATTTGCTCAGTCTGCCCATGACACTATTCTGCGTAATACGGAATACAAACACAAAATGAAGGCCTTTTGCGAAAACTCCCACTACTCTTGGATTCAGAATTGGCTATAGTGTTCATCTGCCCAAATACATAATACAAAAAAAGGTAACATATACTATCCCAGATCCCGAGCACATTCAAATGGCAGTAGCACCCCGATGGCCATTAAAGTGTAAGCTCACCTGCCACGTCAAGGAAACCCTCTTAGGGGAGTGCTAACCCTAACATTTCACCTTGCTGCTTTCAGCTAATATTTACCTAATTTACCACTAATCCCACAGAGAATTGGGGCAAGGCAGTGGCAGGGAGCTCATGCTATATCCACAGGAAAGCTTTAACTCACAAACCTATGAGCGATATATTCTACATAATCTTGTGAGTGCATCTATGTACAGCGCACGATTGAGTGTGTAAACTGTACTTCACTATTTGTATATTTCTATGTTCCTTTTAGATTTATTTTCAGCCGTATCCCGGAGTTTTGTGTTTTTGGTTGTTTACATATGAAAAGGTCGTCTTCTTTGGGTAAAGATCTTGGGAGGCTGCATTATAAGTTAAGTATTTATATACGTTCCACTACGGTTATTAACCATAGTAGTGTTGATATTGTATTGTATTAACTCACAAACCGTCTACACCATACGGCAGGGGTCCTCAAACTGCGGCCCTCCAGATGTTGCTGAACTACAACTCCCATGATTCTTTGAATTACATAGATAGCCAGAGAATCATGGGAGTTGTAGTTCAGCATCTGGAGGGGCTGGAGTTTGAGGACTCCTGCCCTAGGGTTATATGAGCAATCCTGCTTTCCAGGCAGCCAGTAACACTTCCTGACACTACTAGAGACTTGCTGCTGGGCTGGCGTCCCCGTAGCCATAGCAACAGCATCAGACACCGGAAGTTCCTACCTTGCAGCGTGTGCGAGTCGCGCGGAGCATTCTGGGAGGAGGAAGTGCTGCTGGTTTCCGCTGTAAACAAACTAGGTTGCGAGCTGCCTGTGTCCGTGTGGGAATAACTGGGCTTCTACAGGTGTAACCCCGGCGGTTGGAGACATGGATATTCTGAGAGCGGAAATTGCCCGCAAGAGAAAGCAGGTGGAGGAGAAGGAGCTGCTCGGGGTGAGTGCTGGCAGCCAGGGTGCACTCTGCAGGCTCTAGCAGGCTCGTGTAATAGATTGACATGTACCCCATTCATGGAGAGCTGAGGGAGGGCTTCCTTAATATTATGCTGTGCAGCCATAGTGGGTTTATGATCTAAGGAAGGTAGGGAGGCGTGTTTTGATGCTTTGTTTTTCACACAGCTGCAGTAATTAAATTATTAGCAGTTTTTGGAAATGCTTCAGCAGCACACTCATCGACTTCAAGTAAAAAAAATGTAAGATGCAAGTGAAGTGTTTACTTTTTTTTATGTGCACAACGTTGAAGAGAGTGAACCAGTAAAATTTTTCTGCCATTTGGATCAGTGATATTTACTAGTGTGACTTTTATACATTTTTAGGCTGAAATTGTGAATTTTTAAGATTGTGGCTCACAATTTTAAACTATCTCAGAATTCAGCACAGTTCAAAATTTTAGTAAATAACCTTGTTATATTAGCATAATATGTGTGCTCCCAGTCTCATGATGTCATGTTTCATCATAACCCATTTTATATTTAGGGTTATACAATTTAAATATTGTTAAGTCATAAGTATATTTTGTTTACCGTTTGCATTGTTTACAGCAGGGTTTTCCAAACTCTGGCCCTCCAGATGTTGATGAACTACAACTCCCATGATTCTCTGGCTTTCTGTTCGATTTAAAGCATCATGGGAGTTGTAGTGCAGCAACATCTGGAGGACCAGAGTTTGGAGAACCCTGGTACACTAATCTCAGTTGCTGTGAGCTGCTTAGTAACATGCATTCCACAACTCCAATTTTGTCTTGCAGGATGGTAAAAAATATTTTAAGCGCAGTGAACTTGCCGAAAAAGAAAAGGAAGCCTATTTTGAAAGATGTGGTTTTAAGGTACTGAAATTACTTTTTCACCTCTACTCTATTGCAGTCAAGTTAATTTTTTTTTTTTTTTTTTTAGACTTCTGCATATTCAACTAACCAATTCTCTTTGTTCAATCTGTCACTTTCATTAGCTCAATGAGCAGACACAAGGAAAGGTATGATTGCTCAAAGAATTAGAAATGCATGTGCATATATTTTAGTTATTATTTCTGTGTGTGCGTAAGCAGACTCATTTTGAGACCGCTTTAGTAATGTCTCTTTTTCCTGTCACTCAGCATAAGGTGTGAGGCATGAAATGGATTGGAATGCTACAAGAATTTTCTTGAACACTGGATCTACCGTTTTAGGTTAAATATTGGTTTAATATACCGTTCATATGCTGTCATCATGTTTGACTGATAACTTCTTCATTGTAGATATTCACTGACTTTATATATACCGATTAAGTTACTGACCTGTTAAATGTTTTGTTTTCTTCTAAATGTGTACATTATCAACACTTTATCTATAAAAATCAACTACTGACTTCAAAAGGGAACATCATAAGGAGGGGATCTTTATACTTTTTGCTTTCCAACACTTGATTCCTAGTTAGCAGTATATGCACCATAGTTCCCACAGACAGGTAGTACACACCAAATGCCTTTTTTATTCACTCTGATGGGCAGCAGGCAAGACGACGGTCTGAGGCCTACCTCGTCTCTCAGCTGACTCGAGCTCCGCAATTCGCATCAGGATTGTCACAAGAGGACCTAACTCCCTTAGTATCAGACGGTACTTACCTGGTGCCCAACACACACAAACTCAATAAGGCAAAGATACCAATGGTCACACATAAAGAAATTAGAGACTTTGGAAACATGTTCCAGCATCATTCTACCTACAAGATGGCAGCTCAAGCGAAGCAAGAGCCTACTCCTGCAGCTCAAAGATTCAGACTGAGGAACCAGCTGTGGTGACTCAGTCACCAGGGCCTGCGCTTGCAGTACTACAGGGGGGTGATAATAAGCTTTGGCCACGAAGCAGGATATCCACAACTTGCTACAAGACAGTAAGGATCTCTTTGCAGCAGATTTAGAGATGGTCAACCTTCAAGCAGTGACAGGCTGCAGGCTACTGAGGAGAACATAAATGACTTGCATCAGGAGGTGACCATTATGAGAGACACTCTGACATAAGTCTAGATTTTACCATCTGCCCTAAATACACAGGTGGACCTGCTCAATGAACATAGCCAGGGGTTTACAAGACACCATTTCTGCTTCCCTTTTACTGTCAATAGAGGCCAAAAAATCGCTTTTTATGTGTTCAATCTCATTAACAAATCACCTAAAACTCCCCTAACAGCATCTAGAGATGTTATTGTTCGATGTCAATCACTCACTGCTAGAGGTTGTATCCTAATATTGCTATGGGGCAAAACATCATATGCCTTTAAATCCTCACAGCTCACTTTTTTTTTCCCAAGACCTCCACAGGTCAACTCTAAAGAATCTTGTCATTGCTTGTTAACACTGACGCAGGTGTGGAGTACAGGTCGTCTGAACTACACACTTTAACATTGGACAGACATTGGAGATTTATGCTAACCAGTGCACTTTAAGATCATTATATTTTTTGAGGCACATTTGTTCTCTGTCTCTTTCTCTTAATATAAGAGAAGCCAGTATACCATGACAGTCCATGCTTTTGTTAAGTCATGACATATGTTATGTGACAAGCTAACTAATTTAGTTTTCTTGTATTATAAATACATGTGTATAAATGCCAATATACTCACAGTGATGCCTGTTACACATATGCCTCAAGAAAATATTGATTGACAAAAAATAAATAAAAATCTTTAGTAGTGAAGATCCATTTTAGTGGTGCAATCTGATTAAAGAGAATTTGTCTGGCAGAAGTGTGCCATAATTCATGCTTTTAACATTCCATATATCTTCTGTCCAAACATTTGAACTACATCTTTACAAACTGTGTGGCAGGACACGTTAGTGTGTTGGCTGCACAGTCTAAGTGTGCTCTGTGAATGAGGTGTCCGATCGGAAGGGGGGCACATTCCACTGCCCTCTCCTCCTACTGGTCACTCCATGTAGTGTGGCTGTGGAGGCGGACCGCTTCTGTTTCCCCTACTCATTCTGACAGAAACAGTTCTGTGCTCTCTGTGAACACTTCCTGTCAGACCGGGTAGGGGAAGCAGAAGCTGCTCTACCACAGTCCGCCTGCTTAGCCACGCTACACAATTCTATCCTATGGGGATTCAGCAGACGCCTGATGTCCTCATGCACAGTGTGAGGACGTCCAGCATCAGTTAGGTGACTTTTGGTCGCCTAACCACCCTGAAGTCCCTCTATTGGCTGTCTGGTAGACCATCACTAGAGGTGGAGTTAACCCCTCAAGTAATTATTGCAGTTTCTGAGAAACTGCAATAATTACATTTGCAGGGTTACAGAGATTGAGACACTGCACCCAGACCACTTCAAAGAGCTGGTGTGGTCTGGGCTCCTATAATGTCTCCTTAAGCACACACTCTAGAAAAAACAGAAAATAATCTCTCCCTAAGTATAGAGTTATATATTTTTTGGTTTGTCCTTGTTTATGAAGATTAATTAAATTATGGTTTTTATCAGTAATAGGTAACTCTGAAATATCCTATCTGTGTATCCAGGACTTTTTTTGCCCTAGGATCACTCTCTCTTTTGTTAAGCACACACTCTGACACACACACTGGCAGATACACACAGACGTCACTGACACTCAGACACACCGATTTGACACACATTTGTTAACAGACGCACATTGGCAGATACACTCTTACAGTCACACACACACTCAATGACAAACACAGACTCACTGATTTGACACACGCACATTCACTGACACACTCACTCATTCATTGACAGACAGCCTGACGCACACACTGACACTCATTGTCAGACACACTGATAGTCACACAATCAGAGACTCTCACTGATTTGACACAAACACATGCACTAACAGACACTCACACACACATATTCACAGACATAAACACACACACATACACTCACAGATATACAGACACCTTATTAATGTAATTAAAATATAATTAAAATTTTTCCACACAGCCTCCCTACCTGGAGAGCTGGCGTGGATCCGTCCCTGGGGTCCAGTGGGGCTACTGTGAGGTGGGTGGCTTACCATCTGTGGCGGCAAGGGAGCTGTGATCTCTCTGCTTTGCACCCTCGCAGGCTGTCTACCGATGCTGGGAGCCGGAATGATGTCATCAGTAAATGGCGCGCGAGCAGAGCAGAGCAGAGAGATCACTGCTTCCTCGCCGCCTCGGTTTGGTAAGCCACCCGCCGGAGGGAGGGGGGTCTCTATCAGCAGGTCAGCTCTTGGCCCTCCCCATGATAGGGGATTCACAGGGGATGCCTTGGTGGGTGTTTGGGGGCGACCTTTTTTGCCGCCCCCTAAATAGTGCCGACCAAGGCAAATGCCTAGTTTGCCTTGGGCTAAATAGATCCCTGGGGGGAGGGGACGTAAGAAGGGCACAGGAGGGGAGGAGTGACCGAAGAAGGGCACATGTTGGGGGGAAAGAAGAGTGGCAAAAGATGGAGAAAATGGGGCCCTCAGAAGGATGAAGGGGTCACAAAGAGGTACACAGAGGGACTGAGGGTTCACAATGAGACTCACGGAGGGACTGAGGGTTCACAATGAGACTCACGGAGGGACTGAGGGGTCACAATGAGACTCACAGAGGGAATGAGGGGTCACAATGAGACTCACGAAGGGACTGAGGGGTCACAATGAGACTCACAGAGGGGGACACAGCAGCCAGCCAAACAGCAACAGTAAATACAGAGAGAAGAGCCAACATGGGATGGGTATGGTATATTACTATATTGTGAATAGGGGACAGTGTGTTAGTTGAGGGATCATGCATGTATTGTGCATGTGGAATTAGGTCAAAACCGCTGATTACTTGTCACTTCTGGTGACGTGTTCAAGAAATAAAACACCGTCTCGACTGCCGCAGTGTCGTGAAATGATGCATGTCTAAAAAGTGAGTGTCACCAACATGAAAAGTTTAGAAAACTCTGATTTAAACAATAGCTTAAAGGGACACTTTTAAGCACCAAAACAACTTTAGCTTAATTACTCAATTTTAATTTATTGATCATACAGTTGCTCAATTAGCTGGCTTAAGCTTGTTTATGTGTTTAGCGTACAATGCATGGGAATATAGTATGGAGGGTATGTCCAGGTGCACACACATTTTTGCAACACTTTCTAAGCTGTTGCCTGAGTTTATACAAGTGTACTTGGAGCATCATGGTAGCTCTTTAAGCTGAAAGTACTGCTTATGTAAGTGAGAGATGCCGGTGATGCATAACCGTAATTCTCCTCTGTAAAGGAACACATTAATGTTAAACATAAGTATATTTGTTTTTAACCTTTGGCATTCCTTGTTGTAGATCCAGGGTTCTCCAGTGAAATTAAAATAAAAGTCCAGTCCAGTCTCCTCTGCAGCCATTCAGCTTCCTCATCAGTGCTGATGATGTCAGTCAAAGCCAATGCTTCTCGTAGAGCAGGTGGCATACAGCTTTCAGAGACTTTTCTCTGTCTAATGTAGATTGGCGTTTCTCAAATAACATTTTAAATTGCCTAAGAAGAGACCTTATGTATGCATCAAAACACTACATTAAGATGTGGTGGTTTTGGTGCTTGCAGTGTACCTTTTAAGAAGCAACAGCTATAGTTGTCACTGAAATTCACACTGATATTGAAGAGAGAAATTCAAATGAAAACATTTTGCTCTCCTTATTTCAGCATGTAAAGGTAATAAAATAATTTGTATCATTAGTAGTTATTGATGACATGTTGAAAATTGACTGGTATCTAGAAGTGTGCTGAAATAATCCACTTTCTTATATATGTTTACATGTACATTTTCTTGCTGATCTTGTCCAGGTAAACTGCACATTAACAATCTAAATTTTTTTTCCCTCAGACAGTATTTGAAATGTATTAAACTTGGCGAAGGCTTGTGAATCAATTTTTGTATATTTCAGATATCTGTAAAAGTTTTGAGATTAAGTTTAATTCGATGATTGGATGCTTACATTCAATTATACCCCATACTTTAGGCTCAATTTAGACATGATTGAATTTAATTCATTATTAAATTTGTGCGTGCAGTCCATTATCCTCTGTATTTTTGTGATTTGCCTGTAATCTCACAGTACAGCTATTGCTGCTTCCCTTGTTATTGAGTTAAAGGACCACTATAGGCACCCAGAACACTTCAGCTCAATTAAGTGGTCTTGGTGCCAGGTCCATCTAGTGTAAGCCCTGCAGCTGTAAACATAGCAGTTTCAGAGAAACTGTAATGTTTACACTAGGGTTAATCCAGCCTCCACGCTTTTCACTGTGAACATCACGGTGAGAAGATGCTGACGTCCATAGGAAAGCATTGAGTAATGCTTTTCTATGGACTGTTTGAATGCGCGCACAGCTCTTGCCGTGCATGTGCATTCAAAGCTGACGTCGGGAGAGGGAGGAGAGTTTCCCAGCGCCGAGGGAGCCCGGCGCTGGAGAAATGTAAGTGTTTAACCCCTTCAGCTCAGCGGAAGTGGCACCCTGAGGGTGGGGGGGGGGGGGCCTAAATAACCCTATAGTGCCAGGAAAACAAGTTTGCTTTCCTGGAACTATAGTGGTTCTTTAAAGTGATAGTCATGAATAAACATAAGTCTGCCCTTTGTGCCCAATGAGCTGCCTAATAAAAATGTATAACCAAGAGATAGTTAAACAGAATGATAGTTGTTTTTTTCGTCTGGTGGAGAAGGCTGCCGTGTTTTGATCTCTGTAGGGGAAAAGACCTTGAGAAGCTCTTAAAGGGATACTATAAGTGCCAGGAATATAGCTCCCTCTGCCTCCTCCTCCTTTATTTACTTACCTGATGTCCCTCTGTGTTGGGTCGCAGCTCTGCCGCCTCCTCCGCAAGACAGTAATTGGAGGCAGAATTATTGCTGCAATGTAAACGTTGCAGTTTCTCTGTAACTGCAATGTTTACCATTATAGCACTAAGTGCAATAGGGACACTAACACACTGCACCCAGACCACTTCACTGAGCTCAAGTGGTGTGATTGCATATAATGTCCCTTTAAGAAGTTAGATTACCTTTCATTGAGTCAGCTGCTACATGCTTTGTACAGTAATACTTTGCACTTAAAGGGACACTATAGGGTCAGGTACACAAACATGTATTCCTGACCCTATAGTGTTAAAACCACCATCTGCCCCCTCCCCCCTTGCCTCCCTAAATATATTAAAACCTTGTATTCAAATCTGCAGCTGCTGCCTCTGCCCCTGATCTGCCTGCATGACTGATGTTATCAGAAGTGATTCTTCAGCATATCACAATGCTTTCCCAGAGGATTGGCTGAGACTGTCAAGGAGGCAGATCAGGGGCAGAGCCAGCACAAGTAAAACACAGCCCTGCTCAATCAGTATCTCCTCATAGAGATTAATTGAATAAATACATATATATGGGCAAAGTACAGTATCTCCATGCAGAGGGTGGAGACGCTGAATGGCAGTGATGCACAATGTGCAGCACTGCCCCAGAAAGCACCTCTTGTAGCCATCTGAGGAGTGGCCAATGGAGTTATCCCTAGGCTGTAATGTAAACATTGTATTTTCTCTGAAAAGACCGTATTTACTGCAAAAAGCCTGAAGGGAAAGATTCTACTTACCAGCACAAATACAATAAGCAGTAGTTGTTCTGGTGACTATAGTGTCCCTTTAAAGTTTGTAAAACGGTTGCATTATCTTCTGTGCAGTGATTAAAGGGACACCTGAACAACTTCAGCTTAATGAGGTTGTTCAGGTGAGAACTATAGCTCCCTGCAGCCATTAAACACTGTATTTTGTGAGAAAATACAGTGTTTACATTGAAAGCTAGGAACAGCTCCAGTTACAGTCACTCAGAGTGAACCAGAGGGACTTCAGAGTTGATGGAGGCATAATATGCCTACATCCACTCAGATCTGCTTTCAGCAGAGCACAGGGCAGCACTGTGCACAGCATCCTGTGATTCAGTATCTCCTCCCTCTGCATGCAGACACTGAACTTTCCTCATAGAGATTCATTGATTCAATTCATCTCTATGAGATGTTGATTGGCCAGGGCTGTGTTTGAATCATGCTGGCTCAGCCCCTGATCTGCCTCCTTGTCAGTCTCAGCCAATTCTATGGGGAAGCACTGTGATTGGATCAGGCTACCATGTCAGCAGACTGCTTGTTTTTCTGAGTCTAACAGTATGAAGATTTACAGCTTCAGACTTGAATACAGTAAGATTTTGCTATATTTATGGAGGCATGAGGGGCCCAGGGGGGCTAGATGGTGGTGTTAACACTATAGGGTCAGGAATACATGTTCGTGTTCCTGACCCTATATTGATCCTTTAAGTGTCTGAAAAAGATTATAAACTGAGAAAAAAAATAATAAAATGTATGTCAGAAGATCTACCTTGCCTGCTGTGGTTTCTCAGAAATCAGGAGTTGTAGGCACTCTCTTTGTGAATTGCAGTTTACAATAAGAAGTCAACTTCCACCAATACAGTGGATAAACATACCCCATCCCCCCTGAAATAAAACACTAAAAAAGCAAGTAAAATAGTTAACTTTATTGCAAAATTAAAATAAACACAATTATTGCATGGCAAAATAAAGTCCACAACCACACTAGAAAAGAGTTGCCTATTGTGATTCTTACCTAAAGCACTTTTAGCTTATGGGAACTACACTTGCCATGTGAAATGCATTGAGTTGCTCTATTTTGAATGTGATAGTGGGCTCTTCCAGCTTGCAGTGGTTTTGTATGTTCTTTCCATTGCAATAAATGCCAATATTTTTGTTATGCTTTTTGGAGTTAGTTTGGAAGGGGGTGGGGGGAGGTATTTCCCTACCTTTAGGCAAAAGTATGACTTCTTATTGTGAGCTGAACTGCCACACTATAGTTTTTATAAATTATATTTATTTATTTCCTCAATATCCTTTTCTAAATCTTATTTTCATTTTTGATTGCTGTAATTCATCAGTGTAAGCACATGAATATGAAAAGGGAACGTGATGCATGATTTCTGCTGTAGCCACACTCTTGGGTCAGTGCTCAGCTTGCTTTCTGATACTTGCTGATCCCTTTTCACCGTGTTTGTACATTTTCCTGAACATACACTAGACTAGAGCCTTATAAATCCAAATGGTACCTTGCTGTGGTATGACGAATTTAGAAAATCAAGTTAATTCACTACATTTAAGTTTATTGTATTAAAGTCTTCATATAAATTTTATCTGTACTGATGGCTCAGCTGTTCAAGAAATTGTACAGGTGCCAATTGGATGCTTGCATGATGAGATGGCCATAATTAATTTTACTCTGGTATGTTTGAACTTTAAGCAGTGTTCTACATCCTCTATAGATGTGGCTTTCTCAATATTTGTGTTTTGTCCATTTAGGTGCAGAACCAAGAAGAGGAGGAGAGGCCTTCAACATCAAGTAATCCAGTGCTGGAACTGGAGCTCTCAGAAGAGAAGTTGCCGATGACCCTATCAAGGCAGGAGGTGAGAGGTTACTTTTATGTGTGATAAGTGACAGCTTGCAGAAGATATGATATTATATTTAGTCTGTAAAATGGTATCAGAAGTAAAGTTTTCAGGTTTTGTGTAAAAAAATAATATATATATATATATATATATATATATATATATAAATAATTTTTCTCATCAAGTATCTACAGTTCCTTTTTACTACTAGAGCATGATTTAGTTTTTCTATTTCTATTCTGCATTCGTTTTAGTTATTTTAAAATGGTAATGAATTTATTCTATAACCTTTCGAATACATAACCAACCAATGTCTTCTGATGTGCGGTAATTGCTTAGTACATAATGAGTACTCTTCTTGGTTTTAAGAGAACAAAGTAATGTGTTGGACTAGTGAATTAATGTACAAATCTTAAAGGAACACTATAGGGTCAGGAACACAAACATGTATTTCATGTTTAAAACCACCTTCTAGGGGGTGGAGCCTAACAGCGGAGCTGAGCGGTCGCAACTTACCGGAGCTCCGGCTACACCGCGGCGATTTTGGGGTAAACACCGCTTGGACCAAGCTGTTTCACAACCGGTCCAACCACGTGCAGCTGGGGAGTCACCCGGAGACTGCCTGGAGTAGCAACAGCAGCGCTAGCTCCAACACTTGAGTCTGCAGCACGAGTTGGGGCCTACCACATGCGGGCAGGCGGGAAGTGGCCATTCCCCCTGCTAAGGTACTGGGTGACTCAGCTCCCACAGTAGACCCCACCAGAGACTTGCCCTCCCCCCCCCCCTGACGGAGAGGGAGAGCCCGGTATCACACACATACCCACAGAAGATATGGGGCGCAAGCATAAGAGACAGTTCCAGACAGACAGGCCTGCAGTGCAGGATATTAGACTATCCTTTGGGAGGGCACCCCAGCAAACACCCACAAGGGCGGCAGCTGAGCAATACAGTGAGCAAGATGCCTCTGATGACTCCCCTGAAGAGGAGGAATCTATCATCTCTCCTCACCCAGCTGGAGTGTACCAGCGAACTAACTCAGATGAGGACTCATCCCCCTCCACAAAGGGAGATATTAAAAAACTACTCCTAGATCTGAGAACAATGTGGAAGTCCGACCTCCAGGAAACACAAACTGACATCAAGGCTCTGCAGCATGAGATGTCTGCAATGGAGAGCAGAGAACAAGCCAGAGACACTCAGCTCCAGACCACTACACAAAAAGTGGAGGGTCTCACCTCACAAGTTAAACAAATAAGCAAAATGGTGCTCACACTCGAGTCCAGACACAGGCGTCGGAATGTGCGTCTGAGAGGTCTACCTGAACAGGTTGAGGGGGGGGACACACTGCGATATGTTCAAAAGCTGTTTACCTCAATGGGCGTTCATAGCCCCACAGACACCCCTTGCATCCTGGCCGCCTTCCGAGTACGCAAATCTGTAGCGGCACCAGCAGACGCACCGAGAGACGTCATTGTGACAACCAAAGACATCGCGGTGAGGACTGCTGTTATGACTAAATCCAGATCTATGGGCCAAGTGAGTTTTGAGGGCCATAACCTCTTCATCTACAGTGACCTCCCATTTGCCGTCCTGGCGGAAAGAAGACAGCTGGCCCCAGTGGCTAGGAGGCTGCGGGACTGCTCTATCAGATATCGCTGGAATGCGGATGGCTCTCTGGCCGTCACACAAGGCACAGAAACATTCACCCTAACCTCTTCGGATAACCCAGAGACTCTCTTTAACAAACTAGGCCGACCAGCCGCCAATATGCCAAAAGAGACAAACCGAGAGGAAGCAACACATGAGAAAAAGGCCGTGGGGAGAGCGAAACAACAGAGCAGTCCGACCAAGAGACACCTGCCTAACACCAGGGACAGTTCTGGAACGCCATAAATGTTATCAAGGAACTGTCGGAGTGCTATTTCCTTCAATGCTGCCATGTTCTATAATTTTCTTGTTTTTACATATATATATATATATATATATATATATATATATATGTGTATAACTTTTTATTTCTTATGTAACGTTTTAAGCTCTGCGGGCACCTACCGCTCGCTGATGCGCTATATCATTATACATGACCTATAGAGGAGCACAAATACTGCTGATGTCTCTACATGTGACCTTTCTCCTCTGTCTTTCTCCCCCTTTTTTTTCTTGGGTCATGTTGAACCCTAACGTGCCTTAAAATAATCTCCAACTGTTTATTCCTTATATATAAATGACACAGATGTATATCATGTGCATAACCCTAATAAAATTCAAATTTAAAAAAAAATAAAACCACCTTCTAGGAAAGTATTGGATAGGCTGAGACTGTCAAGCGGCAGAGTAAACACAGCCCTGGCTAATGCACATATCCTCAGAGATATTCATCAATGCATTTCTATGAGTAAAGTTCTGTGTCTCTATGCAGAGGGTGGAGACACTGAATGTCAGTTCTGCATATAGTGCCCCAGGAAGCACTTCTAGTAGCCATCGGAGAAGTGGCCAGTGCAGTTATCCCTAGGTTGTAATGTAAACACTGCATTTTCTCTGAAAAGACGGGGTTTACTGCAAAAAGCCTGAAGGGAATGATTATACTCACCAGAACAAATCCAATAAGCTGTAGTTGTTCTGCTGACTGTAGTGTCCCTTTAAACCAGTGGTAGTCAACCTTTTTCTACCTACAGCCCACTAATGCATCTTTTTGGTTGAAAAAATGTCCTTACCACCCACCATTTTTTGCGCAAGTGCAGAATATTTTTTAGAAAGTAAGGTGTTTTAAAAATAAATAAATGTACGTACATTTATCTTTTTATTTCTACTTAATGCATGTTTATAATGTTTTTAACTTTATAAAGTTTAATGAGAAAACAATAAAGTAAATTGAAATTACCTTTACTAGTGATTAATAAGATCCTTGAGGTTGATGCTGCAAGACTAAATATTTGATATCTGGTTCGATTTTCGTAAGGAACAAATAAAGGTTTCCTCTTTCAGTGATATTCAGACGACTTCTCTGTCTGCGCATAATATGATTTCTCATCTGTGCGTCAGCTCCCCTCCTCTCCTTCCTCAATTCCCCTCCCCACTTTTTTTTATTTTTTTTATTTTTTTAACCTTCCTTATAGCAATGCCCAGTAGGAAGGCTGAGCTAGGTATCCCACTTACTGTTACTTACTATAGCCCACTATAACAGACAGGCATACATACATACATACATACAGACAGACAGACAGACAGACAGGCACACACACAAGACACATGCATACAGACACACACATACAAAGACACACACAAAGACACATACACACAGACAGACACAAGACACACATACATACGACACACATACAAAGACACATACACATAACACATACATACAAAGACAAGACACACATATATACAGACAGGCACACATACACGACACATACAAAGACAAATACATAAGACACACATACATACACACACATACAGACACACACACGAGACATACATACAAAGACACATACACACAACACATACATACAAAGACAAGACACATATATACAGACAGACACACACACACAAGACACATACAAAGACAAATACATAAGACACACATACATACACACACAGACAGACAGACACACACAAGACATACATACAAAGACACATACACAAACAAACACACACATTAAATTTAAGTCACCCTCCTGTTTCCTACCTTTAAGGTGCAGGAGGGTGACTTTCTCTGGGGTCCAGTGGTGGCTCAGATGGATGGGAGTCAGAGTTCCCACTCCGACTCCCTCCTCCTTCCTACCGCGCGGTCTGTATGTTAGCTGGGAGGAGTGACGTGCAGTCACTTCCTCCCAGCTCTGTGATGTAATCACAGGGAGCCCGTTCGCGCTGTTAAAGCGCCCAGCGCTGACCGGGCCCCCTTACAATCCACATCCATCGGGTGGCCCTGACAGCATGGGCCACCCGATGGACCCCTCCATATGCGGCCCCGTCGGTTTGCCGCGCGGGCCGGGGCCGCAAGTGGTGATGGTGGTACCCGGTCGCAGGCGTACCGCCGGCTCGCGCCCGCTCAATCTGTCAAAATTAGAAAATCCCTACCGCCCACCTGGAATCCTGAAACGCCCACAAGTGGGCGATAGGGACCAGGTTGACGACCCATGCTTTAAACAGTCAAACATATCCCATGTTAACCCTCAATGGGCTAGTACATATAAACAGGGAATATATCGACTTGACAAAGATGCAAACCTCCTGTTGCAACCAAGTGGATTGTTTTATTAAACCATATTAATCCATCCATTTCAGTCCACCAAGGTAACAGTGCAGTGTTTCCATTGTATAGACAAGTGTTTGTATGTATAATAGCAGGTGCAAGTGTATTTTCCCATTGTCAAACTTTTACACTATCTTGCAGATAGAGGGGATTGCATAAAGAACAGTTCTGATGCAGTGTTCTAAAACAGGGGTTCCCAAACCAGCCCTCAAGTACCCCCCACACCCCTATTCCAGGATTTAGGGATTTCCCTGTTGTGTCTAAAGTGTGTTTTTATGTTTTTTCTTTCCTTTTTAAAAAACATCTTAGACAAAACTGGGTAATCCCTAAATCCTGGAATGTTGGGGGGGTACTTGGGGACTGGATTGGGAACCACTAAAAGATCAGCAATCAGTGAGAGCATTCTATTGGTTTACTGAGTAAATTCTCAGTTCCCTCTCTAGAATTGCATTTAAAAAAATAAAATACAAAAATTCAATATAAGTAAGCTTAGCTGTTCCCTCACCATCTCTTTTGTATAATCTGTGCATGTTTATTGCAGGAATGTTTATGGGTCTCTCAATAAAAATCCAAAACCCCAGTTTGTCTTTGCCCTCATTTAGAAATAGTGCCATTTGTGAGATCATAAGTCACTTCAGGATAGGCTCTTCCTTGAACTAGTGCGGTAAGACTTGACTACTTCTAACAGATGGAGTCAGAGAGACCATCTGATTGGCGCAGTGTGGTATTTTGCTGTGCATGCGAACTTGCAATCCAGTGCCTTCCTATGGGAAAACAAGGAGGCGGGACCAGGCACGGAGAGAGCACTGCGGCATAAGATGCAATCTATGTTAACTATTGTGTAGTTAACTTATAACCTTTATGAGGGGACATCAACTTTACGGTAACTAGAGCATGCTAGCGTTAAATTACACATTTGTATTCCTAACACTATAGTGTTCCTTTTAAGTGTGATAACTATTTTTAAGGGGCTGTATATTTGGTCACTTGCCTGACCTACCAACTTCTGATATTTGATCTTCTTTTGAAATTATCTGGATATAAAGTACAGAACTTTGCCTTAGGGGACTATGCATGGAGTGTGCAAACCAATTCATACATTTGCATTGATTGTGGTTATGCTGTGGAGCTAGCAAGAGCTTTCCAAGAATAACACAGCGGTTAGTTTGTCAGCTGGGTGAAATCACAAGGACTCTGGAAAACGACTGTTCCACGTTTTTAATAAGTTGAAGGATTTCCCAAAACCAGAGTATCAATCAGTGTTGCATAAGAAATGTTGGCTTACTTTAAAGTCAAATTACTGGCTCCCTTTTAGCAATACTTCAAACTTGTTAATGGGGCAGAACATGGCTCTGATATAAATTAAGGCCAGTGAGAAATTTTATGGCTAGAAAATGAATATTTTCCATCCACAAAAAAAGGTATTCAAAATAAATTATTAACTTTTCAGTGTGTGTAACTAATTTAATTGTATTTTACTGATATTATTTTAACCTTGGTAAGTATGTACTGGCCCGATGGTAAATATTCATCTATACTTTAGCAAGTGACCTTGTTTTTAACCCCTTTGTAGCTACTATTAAAGACAGCTCATTGTTATGAGTGCAGTTCTCTGATTTTTATGTCAAAATGTTTTGGAAGAGTTAAAAAAACAAAAACAGGCCTCTCCCTGGCAGTGGACCCCCAAAAAAAAGGAAAACATGTTTTTTTGTCCCTGACACTAGAGTTTCTTTGAGCAAATCTTCTAATCACATTTTTATTTTTACTAATACATTCTGCTAATCTCTCAATATCAACAATGACTCATGGACGAAATGTTAGAGCATAGTTTTTTTGTACAAACATTTTTACTTTAACATTTTGTCACTTGCTGAAAGAGTATGTCATTTAAGTAAATGTGCACCAATTTTAGTTTTTACAATATTACATACAATATAATGCAATATTGTCTCTTACAACATCTTCCATTTAAAGCCAAGTTCAGGCTAGTCCAATGTACTAAGCATGCACAAAAATGTCTTTTGAAATGAATCATTCTAAAACCTCTAGTCTGTGATGGCTACAAACGTGCATTCCATACGGTTTAGCAAGCTTAACTAACAGCTAGCATTTAAGTTGTTTCTCACAGGTTGAGCCTTCTGTGGGCATTGCTAACAAACCAAGTTGTATGCAGGTTTCCTTTAAAGGTACTTAAACCTTGTGAATAAATGTATTTATGTAGTGTTACAAATAACATTTAGAATAATGCCAAAGTAAAAATTAATTAAATAAAACTTGCCATTAATTCAGCGCTGCATCTCACTGCGACAGGTTCCTAGCCTTGCTGTGAGATTATCAGTGATGTGTAAGATCTCGGGTCAGTCCAATGCTTCTTATAAAGAGGCATAGGGGCCCTGTTGCGAATGCACAGCAGTGGACATTATCACAGAATTATCATAGTTTGTCGTTGTCATGTTGGGTGTGATGTCTTCACAAGGAAATGCCTCTAGCACTTTGCTTGATTGACATCCACTAGAATTATTCAGACTGGCAAATATAAAGGCTGACATTTGTCAGACTCCAGTAACAAAATCTACACACCAAAATCACTACAGTGCAATGTACAGTTTTTTTGCTTAAAGTGTCTTTTTTTTTTTTAAACCTCTAAATTTATGAAATTCGGAATACTTTCTGTGTTTCTTATTGATCTTCCCAAAGTCTAAATTTGTGGAAAAACACAGTAAAACTTTTGCAACTGTTTAGGTAGAGTTCTCCATGTGTATCAGATTATGAATAAACCAAGATCCTTACTGAGAATTTTTTTTTTTATGGCTTTTCTTAGGCCAATTCTTCCTTTTGTGAATAATTCTAACAGGTTTAATATCGAGGTTTTAATTGCTGTTAAATTAAAATCAATTTTCCTTTGTCTTACTCTAACCTGAACTTCATGTTGGCTTTAGGGTTGTGAATGTTGGATACTGGCCATTTTTTATTTCCCGCCCATCTATATGGAGAAACACCTGTGTAAACATCTGGGTCACTCAATAAGGGGTCCTACGGGATATATTCTGTGCTTTGAAACACACATCCTTATAGTTCTGTGAAGTTACATTTAGATGTAGGACACCTTTTTAAACATCTTAAACATTTTTAACCATTCTGAAGCCTGGAACACAAACTTTATTCAGTTTAGGTAATTTATTTTAAAATCTCAGTTTATAGCCGTGTGAGACAGTGTGTTCTAAAGAATTTCAGTTAAAGTCTGCAGAGGTTTCTCTTGGCTCCGTCTGTAGCAGGTGTCATTACTTTTTCATCAAGAACTGCTTCACATATCTGAAATAAAAACTGACTGCTTTACCATCTTTAAAAAAGAACTTGCCTTTCTGCATTGTTTTGCACTCTGTGTCGATTTGGTTTGGCAACGAAATGTTTCCCTCTCTGAGCTTGCGAGAGAGAGAGTTCTTTTAATTTACAGTGACAGAGCTCCACTTGTACAAACATACTCACAAAGTTAGAGAATTGCAATGGGATTTTGAGAGAGCTTTATTTATATATTTGTTTGCAATTCTATATTTTGTTGCAAGTAATTTTATATTTTAGAAATTTGCAAATGCATTACAGAATATATCTAGTGGCACATGTCTACTTAAAATAGTCTCTGCTGATAATAAATGGGTTTCAAATATATATTTTTTTTAATTGTTCCCAATATCCTTTCAGCTGTACCCATTTACCTATCTGTAGAATTGCCATACACTCCTTGCACTTCATGTGTGTATTGCCTATACCTTTTATTGTCATCTGTCTTCTAGATCAGTGGTTCCTAACATGTGCTTCAAACTACAGGTGGGCACTAATAACTTTTATGTTTTCATAATCCTTTTAAGGCTCTGTGCCACTCTACGGACCGATCAGAAGATCTAAAATGGACAGAACTGCTGTGATGAGCATTACAAGGGAGCAGACCATCTGTGCCTTGTCAAGTGGTGCAAAAGTGTCCAGAGCTCCATTGCAGTCTAGCAGTGTTAATAGGTAAAGGCTATAAGCCATGTAACATCATGACTGATCTCACTAATTCAAGCATCATAGCTGCAAGGGAGAATTGAAAGCGGTCTGTAGTTTGAGAAGATGAGGGTAGATGCAATTTTGGAGCGGAAAACTGGTTACAACCCAGCTAAACAACCCCTCACCCTATACAGGAAAACAAAACCGACAAAGGCCTTCCAAGCCGAGATATGGGGGAGCGGCTGCGACTCTCGCAAGCCCCTCTGTGGGACAAAATGGCGCTGGTGGGTGAAGGATCTTTGTACTCCTCAGAAGACGAGGCATTCGATTATAGGAGAAGGGGCAATGTGTGCTTCATTAGTCAGACCCAAGCACCAGCAAGCCGCCACTGAACAGCTACTCAATTGAAGAGCATGCTAGCAGAATTACAAATGAACATCGCGGCTGACATGGCTGGCATTAAAGATGCTATAGAAGGTGTCACCTCAAGGATCACCCTGCTGGTGACCTCATCAAGTTCCCAAGACCAAAGAATTAACTCCAAGCAGGTTAAAATAGCTGAGAACCAGCAACAACAAACAGCCACCAACAACAAGGAAGACACCTTTGAAGATCAACAGAGGCGTTCTAACCTCAAAATCTGCAGACTTTCCTCACTTTGTCAGATGCATGATAGGCACCTTGTTGCCACCCAAATAGGGCAAGGCAGTAAGGCTAGACGGCACATTCAGACTGCCGAAGCAATCCACAGCGCCAGCATCCGCTCACATAGACCTGATAGTCCGATTCCAGTTAGGGATGCACCAAAATTAAAATTCTGGGCCGAAACCGAAAATTCAGGATGCCCTTGGCCGAAAACCGAAACCAAAAGTGACTTTCCCCCCCACCCCCCAAATTATTTTAAAATCGTTTTTTATATAATTTTATCAATATTAGACTTTTTAATTAATTTAATGAATCTAATATGAAAAACTACAAGCAAATAAAATAAATAACGACACTTTTATTGAAAGTAACACATCAAAATTGGACAGAAAATAACTTTAAAAAAAATTATATATAAAAATCTGTTAAATTTCTTTGTTATATAGGACTAAAGAATAATATATTGTGGATATTAATTTAATATCAATATACATTCTTCATTTAGTTCTATGCAACAGAATCAGATTTAAAAAAAAGAATAATTCCACTGTATTGCAGTCAGTGTCTCTGTATTGCAGTCAGTCAGTGTATCTGTATTGCAGCCAGTTTATAATGTAGATATGTGGGTGTAGAATACAGTCTCCTGTCTGTAATGAACTTTTCCAGTCTCACTCACACTCAGTCCATGTGTTACAAAGCATTTATTCATGTTACACATTGACTCTGCAGCTTTCTTTAACCAATAACACTGCCAAATAGATCTCACACTCTGCCCATACTCTCTGTAGAGTTTAAAGGGACACTATACTCACCTGAACAACTTCAGCTTAATGAGGTTATTCAGTTGAGAACCATAGCTCCCTGCAGCCTTTCTCATGTAAACACTGTATTTTGTGAGAAAATACAGTGTTTACATTGAAAGCTAGGAACACCTCCAGTTGCAGTCACTCAGAGTGAACCAGAGGGACTTCTGAGTTGATGGAGGCATAATATGCCTCCATCCACTCAAATCTGCTGTGCACGAGCATCCTGTGATTCAGTATCTCCTCCCACTGCATGCAGACACTGAACTTTCCTCATAGAGATTTATTGATTCAATTCATCTCTATGAGGAGATGCTGATTGGCCAGGGCTGTGTTTATATAATGCTGGCTCTGCCCCGATCTGCCTCCTTGTCAGTCTCAGCCAATCCTATGGGGAAGCACTGTGATTGGATCAGGCTATCACATGTCAGCCGACTGCTTGTTTTCCCTGAGTCTAACAGCATGCAGATTTACAGCTTCTGGCTTGAATACAGTAAGATTTTTACTATATTTATAGAGGCATGAGGGGCCCAGGGGGGCTAGATGGTCGTGTTAACACTATAGGGTGAGGAATACATGTAGTTGCACTGGTGACTATAGTGTCCCTTTAACATTATTCCTGCCCTCATCCAAAATGGCCGCTCGGTAGCACCCTCTTCCGGTGACATCTGGTTCTGTAATAGTGAAGGAGTTCGCATCTGCGATGAGTGCAGGCATTGTGCTTTAGAGACAGACCCGAAGTGGCGTTACTAATGACACTGGAGTAAGAAGAGGGAGTGGATACAGGGCTGGGACACCCAGTGAGGTGGGTATTATAATATCCATAGTAACAGTGTGTTTATATAGAGAGATAGCTGTAGTGTGCTATCGCGGTACCGCACGCAGGGGAAATGGGTGGGAGGAGCAAAGGAGTGAGGTGTGATTTTCAGCAGATTTAACCCATTTTCGTCCGAAATGGGATAGCCCCATTTTCGGCTGAAAATTTCGGCCGCCTAAATTTCGGTGCATCCCTAATTCCAGTCCGTGCAGGACAAGACCCTCTTGTTGGCGGCTGCCCACGGGAAACCTCCCTTACCATTTGAGGGAGCCACGCTGACAATGTTCCCTGATCTCACTAGAGGCACCATTGAGTGGCGCAGAGCCCTGCGGCCACTACTACCTCTGCTCCGTGACAGGAGAATCCAGTATCGGTGGGGGGCCCACGCAAATTTGGAATTTTGGTATCTCCCCAGATGGTAACTAGATCCCTTTGCGGTACTGGAATTCGTTCCCCGATCATCCCGATGCCCATCCTCTCCACGGGAGAAGACCTAACAAGCTAAGAGTTTCCCAGGACTTACCTGTCATACAAGGGGGGACACCAAGACCTCCGACCGCTGTATCCTCAATAGAAGCTATATATAGCAGCACAGTTCCAGAATGTTTGTTTTGTTTTCATTGTTATATTTTGTTAATAAAGTGATCTGTTCGTATCTAAGGCGCTTGGGGTGCAGTATAAATGGGCAATAATCAATAGCAGCTACAGAACTTATATGCTACTGAGGATAAAGCGTAATTGTACAGAGGAAGAGGATTGTAGACAACCATCCATGAAAGTTTTAAGTGATTTTAGAGAGAAAGGATATAAAGAGGAACTCCTCAATAAGGCATTAAAGGAAACCTCTTTGAAAGATAGGGAGGACCTTTTAACCCGAAATAAATCTAAGAGCGATATAATAATGACAATCAGTTCTCGTTTATTTGTGATTTTAATTGTAATTATAACAATGTACAGAGAATAGTGAAGAAATACTGGCCCATGTTGAAAGGGGACGAGATTTTAAACTCTATACTTCCGGAGAGGCCAAAAATAATTTATAGGGGAGTGCCTAATTTAAACAAATTAGTTCACAGCCATCTTCCAAAAAAAGAGATATCTAAGAACCTATTTAGAGAAAAGGGGGGATTTTCTGGATGTGTAAATTGTGGGGCATGCATTAATACGAAAAATAAAAAAAGGCATATTAGTCAATTTACACACCCCAAAAACAAAAATGAGAAATTTCCCATAAAACAACTGATCACCTGCCACTCCAAGAGAGTAATTTACATAATCAAATGTACATGTGATCTACTCTACATAGGAAGAACCACAAGATCACTCCATATAAGAATTCAAGAACATGTACGCAACATCAGAATAGGTTTCGAAAAACATAGTCTCTCCAATCATTTTAAATTTAAACATGACAAAGACCCAACTCAACTCATGTTCTTGGGAGTACAGAGAGTGGAGACCAATTGGAGGGGGGAAGATCTCATCACTGTGATGGGAAAGGCAGAGATGAGTTGGATTTTTAATTGCAACTTCCTCCTCCCCTATGTGCTGAATAGTGACTTTGAGCTATGTCACTTTTTATAAGTTTTTTTTTTTTTTATTATGTGTATATTTTGTGTGTGTGTGTGTGTATGTATATGTATATGTGTATATATATATATATATATATATATATATATATATATATATTTCATTTTTTGTGTATATATATATATTTAATACATACATTTTTACCACTTCGGTTTTTTTATATATATTTTTTAATTCTATATTTTCTAATTAAACTTTTCCCAATATAACTATTACTTTTTGGCCACTAGAAGTGTGGATAGCACTTTTATAGTTATAACTTATGGATTTTTAAAATTGTATCTAAAGACACTTTCGAAGTATATTTTTTTTCACTATGGGGTACTTTTATGCACTTTACTGTTGTTCCACTTATACTTATAATTGTGCAATTTGCATGTTTCAGGCGAGTGTTTAATTATTTTTATTATTCCCTTGCCGCTGTTATGAGCCTTATTAGAATTATGGACTTTGTATTGAGGACTCTGCTGTGAGGGAATTTGCTAGTTTACATGATTGCGATATCCGTACCGGAAGTAACGTATGGACGTAATGTCACTTACGGTTATTGATCCGAACGGCAGTAATACCTGAGAAAGAAACACCCACGAAGAAGACAGCTATCATTGGATAACGAGCAGCTGAGACAACGAATCGGACAACAGGTCCAGGATTTAAAAAGCAGGAAGAGATGAAGAGAAGATCAACTTCGATTGAGAAAACCCGAGGAGAGGGCGAAACGTGTCTTGGAGGATCTACCCAGCATTTATGGACGTTTATTTTATTGTTTTGTAAGTCTTATGTGTATTTTTAATACTTTAATAACTTTTAATAAATTTGATCTTTGGATCATTATTAGTCCATTTGCTGATATCTTCATCTTGCTGCTAGCTGCTAATATTGCTGCTAACTGCTTCAAAAGAAGGCTTTACCCCCCTTTAGTGGGTAACAAGCTGTTCCAACCTGAGACAGGTATCTATAATTGGCTGTATAAAAGGTGAGCTTTACATCATTTGATATCTGATTTGCACCTATATTCTGGTCTAACATACTACATTAGAGAGATAGCTCCTCTTTATTTCTCCCTGAGCGTTGAAGAAAGAAAATAGAAAGAGGGAAGGTGTCTCCCTATGTGCATCAAGACGTTTGAGATTTGAGACAGTCCTTCATTTGGCTCTATACTTGTGAGTTGTTTTTTTTTTTTTTACCATTAAGGATCTATATACCAGTTTTGATATACTTCACTATTGCATTTCCTCTTATCTTTGTTTTATATAGCTAACCTCCATTTGGGATACCTAATATCCCTGTGTTGTAGGGGTAAGTACTATTTTAGCGCTCCACTTTAAGGAGTTTTTTCAAGTGGATTGGTTCTTACCCCCCCCGCCCCCCACCCCCTCTTAATTCTCCAGTTTGCACTTTATAATTTATGTTGTTTGCACTTTATATTTTATGTTGACCACGTTGTTAGGAATTAAAATTTATAATATATTAGTAGTGACTAAAATACTTAGCAAAACTGTGAAACCATTTTTTTAAATAATCATTTCTACAAAACCAGTACAATTTAAAAATATAATAATAAAATAAGCAAATATAAGACAAAATAACTTCACTTTAAGCCATGTTTGCTTATTTGTTAACATGTCTCATCTCTATAATTTTTTGAAAAATTATTTGAATTACCGTTTTAAAGGAACACTCCAAGCTCAGGAGAGCTAACATAATTTCGTGCCTAGGAACTTTAAGCTCTTTGCAATTACTAGTAGAGGCAGGTAGCAGCGCCTAGCAAACCCCAGGTAAGATGTCAAAAACAGTTTGACTACTTAACAAGGGGAGTGTTCCCTTAGACCAAAACATTATTATAGTTTTGAAAGTAGAGAGTATAAGTTTAATAGACGTTAACTACTACTCCAGGGTTTTACATTTCTACTTGCACTCTAACCATTGTCAAATGGGAATTTAGAATGTACCTATCTCATTCTGGTCTTCATGATGGTAAATAATGCCTTTTGACTTACTTATTTTTATCTATTTAGTTTCATGCTAAATATAGAGTGTAACCTAGTTGTTTATGGTATTTTATTTCTGTAGGTAATAAGAAGGTTAAGAGAGAGAGGTGAACCTATCAGACTCTTTGGTGAAACAGACTATGATTCATTTCAACGTCTGAGAAAAATCGAAATTCTTGCTCCTGAAGTCAACAAGGTATGTAATTATTTTTTCTTTTTACATTTTTATTTATTTATATAGTGAACGATATAAGCTAAACTAAAGCACAGCAGTGCTACAAATCCAGCTCTTGAGTTCCTGGGGGACCATTCCAACTACAGAGTATTCTACATGCTACTACAGTAGGGAGCCGACTTATATGGCTCTCTAAAGTGTGAGTGCTCCTAATTATTTTCTATACCAGTTATTGGTTTATGCACATTGCCCTATGATAGCTGTCTATATTGCAGATTATCTCATCAAGCATCCATTGTGTGCGCAAAACCACCTTTTCTTGTATCCATTGATAGTAATGTAAGTGTTTTAAGGTGACTAAAACACTGGTTCGGTTTTAGACGCACTGGGATTTGTTTATTTTGTTTGAGCGCCACTTATCCTATTGTTTGTGTTTTTAAAAGTGACTTTATGGCATTGAATATCTTCCTAATCAGTAAAGCTATCTCAGGCAAACCATATGTATGATATTTGATTGACTCTACTGGAAGCAGATGCTATCACAAGTTCCATTAAAGCGGCACTGTCATGCCGAACTTACCTTTCCTCAATCTCTTCCTCTTCTCCCCCTCTCTCAGGATCTGCCCCCCCTGCCCCCGCCCCTGGGCGGCGGGTGGGGGCCATAGTGAAAATGGGGGGGGACCTACTGCCCCCCCCCCCGCGGCCCCCACCCCTGGGCGGCGGGTGGGGGCCATAGTGAGAATGGGGGGGGGGAACCTAGTGGGTTTAAGCCAATCAGAGTGCTCTTTGTCATTTTACACAGCGTGGTCAAAAATACTCTGCAACAGTGAGACCAGGATAAAATTCTCATGTTTGAAGAGCCAGCATTTAAGATTGTACCACACCCCTGCATATCTCCATCACATTTCTCCAAATATTCCTATCAAATGCTGGTGATGTAAGGGGGCTGTTCTTTTGAATTTTCCCACGCTGTGTAAAATGACACAGAGCACTGTGATTGGATGGATTTCAAGCCATCCAAGCACAGTGCTCTGTGTCATTTTACACAGCGTGGGAAAATTCAAAAGAACTTTCCCACGCTGTGTAAAATAAAAAATTTCAGTAGTGTGGTCCAGCCTCTGTCAGTTTTAATTGTATGTTTTGTTTTTGTGTTCACAGTATTATTATTATTTGTGTGTTGTAGTGGGATTTTTTCGTCTGAGACATTTTTAGGGATTTATAATAGTTATGTTTTATTTACACCTTCTTTCCTAGTATTCCATTTTTTTATTTATATATATATATATATATATTTATATATATATATCTATATATATATATATATATATATATAGTGTATCCTCCGCTTCTTTTCTTTTTTCAACATATACCATTTACATCTAAGCAGTAATGGTTACTTTTTTTTTTTATTTATTTTTTTTACATGCAATAATATCCCTTGCCAACTTTTTTTTTTTTTTTTTTCCTTTTAGGGCTTAAGAAATGATTTGAAGGCTGCTCTGGATAAAATTGATCAACAATACCTAAATGAACTTGTTGGTGGCCAAGAGCCAAAGGAGGAAGATACACAGAATGATCTAAAAGTGCATGAAGAAAACACAACAATTGAAGAACTTGAGGTATGTATCCCAATATGCATATAGATTTATTCATCCACATATATATATATATATATATATATATATATATCAGCGTAATAAAGTGGCACACAGACATTCCTTTGTGAATGACTGTGGTGTTACATTTACACTGAACAAAGTAAATGAATAGTTGCATATGTAATATATTTGTGTTATGCAGTGCATGCATTCTTTTATAAAGTTTAATTCTATAACTTCACTATGTTATGTACATGGAAGTGCTTTTTAATGGCATTCTTCCATCTCATTAGGAAGGTGTCTCAATGGCTATATGGCACACAATATCTTTCTTCCCTGCTTTTTGTCTTAATGATCATGTTATAATTATACTTTTACTGTTATCCTGATCATGTTATAATTATACTTTTACTGTTATCCTTATAAAAGTAATCATATTTTGCCAGCAACCTTCATTCACTCTTGTATAAATGACAGTTGAGCTGTCACTTAGGTACTACCTGAATATCTAGCAGGATCTTGTGTATCTATCCCTGTGTAAACTCCATTCTAGGAGTATGTTTAACATTCTTTGCCCAAGGGATGTGCATTGGCGTATAGCTGTTTCAGGTTGAATTCAATTTGTTATTAGAAAAAATAATTTGGTTCCATGCAGTGTTTGTAGGCTCCAGCTTTGCTATGGCATAGGCCATAAACTGGTCATTTCAACCCCATTAAAACAATGATTGCTTTACTTTAGGACATTAAAACATTTTAACATTTCATACATTTGGATGTTCCATAAACAAGCCTTTGTGAGCCATGTCTGACCCGTTGTACAACTCTGATCTAAACAATCACCCAAGTCATTAGGCCTTTACTGATGATAGTCTCAGAAGGTTTCACTAGTCCATGGATCAGTGCTACATACCAGAAACAGCTGTCTAGACTACTTTTGTGGTCAAGAAGACTAAATACGACTCTATTGGGGGAATTGCTTGCCAGAAATATTAAAATGTACATAACTTTCCAATTGTTAAACTGGATTAAATCTGTCCTAAAATCTTTAATTGAAGACTGTCTTTGAATGTTCTGTTTGTGATTGTTCTGGCCTTTTTTATGCTTTATTTAAACATTTTCTGTATTAGAAGTGTGTACCCCTAGAGTCTAGTTTTACTAGCTCCAGTGAAGCTTGAATTAATATGTATATCCTGATTCTAAAACCTGATACAAATAGCTAGGATAACATACCATGCAGTCACATTCCCAGAAGTTGTGCATCATGGAGTCATGAATCTTATTGCTTTAATAAGTTCCATAAAGTCAGAAATAAAATGACAATAAAAACTCCGTAACTCATGCTGCCCATGTACTTCATGACCCCTACCTCTGCATATAATAGTGAAATGTTTTATATGCTCCAAGCTTTGCTTTGTTGCAAAATCCTACGATTCAGTTAGGGAATGATGATAGAATCACTGTTTCTCTATTCATGCTATATGGGGGTACCAACGATGTAAGTGTACATAATATAGGCATTATATGTCAATATACATCACTAAATGTTCTTAAGCAATGTCATAAGGCTTATTCCTAAAATGTATCATGCTTGCTCACTGGTAATTGTGGAGAATTAAATGGAAATAAAATGAAATTGCAATTTATAATCTAAAACAAGCCCGCTGTAGATTTTGGCCATTGTATCCTAAATGTGCCATTTACTTTTCAGTTTTTGTTTTTTTTGGGTTGAGAGAATAACGCTGAATGTAAATGTTACATATATGAATCTTATATTTCATCTTTTAAACAGAACCCACTTCCATTAGATGTAAAGCTATTGAGTATTTTTAATTAACATCTCACTAAAACTCCTGTTTGATTTATTTTTGTACTCTTATTTAGCCTCTATTTACAGTATTATATCTGGCATATCTCAATTTAAATGTAAACACATTAACCCATTTTAGTTCCCACTTTGCAGAGATGCTGTGATATGATGGGACTTAAAAATCAGTCTTGGAGGGAACTGACTTCACAGCACATTTTCCATCAACATCTGGAAAGTGTACTTTGAATGGAGTCCAGAATGGCTGGAACAGGTGTTTAAAATGAACAGCTTTCTAATATAACCACAATGTGTGATCTGAACCAGACTGTGCATTCATTCTGCTGTTTAACTCTTCCAGCTGGCACAAAAGTTAGTCTTAGAACTACACAGGTTAATGTGGAACTCCCTTCCCTTCTTCGTAAGACTTTTACCCAGTCTCCACTAATTCATTTAACACAAAGCTTGCTCAGCTAAAAAAATATATATAATCAATTTTTGGAAATGGGTGTATTTGCTGGTCTTTATCATAAATGAATCTTAGATTGACATGGCGATGCGGTTATTGGACCTGGTGCTCATTATTCTTCCGTAATCAGCCATGAAATACTGCAAGCAGGCTAGCTATTTTTCTGTGCTTCTGTGACAGTCACAACTCTTGCCCACTGCTGCCTTTTCTGCTTTGATGCTTAGACAAGCTTCGCATCTTTCCAATGCCTTCCTTGTATATATCACCTCCTAAAAAGAATTTGCCTTCCTTGTATACACCACCTAAAATAATTTGACCCCGGTGCTGCTGTACCCCAATGATCTGCAAATGACCAGGCTGTCTCTGCATGCTTTAATAGCAGGGACAGCTTCTGTGATCCCCTTGTTCTCTTGCACATAATTTAGACTCGGCACTAGGTGTGATAGGAGTATGATCTACTGAACTGAGGTTTGCTTATTGCAAGTAACATTAAAGTCTGTATTGACTTGTATGTAATATATGTGGAGTACAAGGAAATGTTGCTGTTAATGCTGCATATCACACCTTGAGATGGAGTACGCTTCCCCTTTTTTCTCTCAATTCTGAATAAATTACCTCAAATTGCATGGGCTGGTCCAGAAGGATTTATTCATTAAGCAGTGAATTATAATGAACTAGAAACAAAATGACAAACTTTAGACAAAAATAGCTGGAATGTGGCTATAAATTACATGGAGACATTTTACAAGTTGGCTATTTTTGCTTAAATTTTGAAATCTGATTTTTAATCACTACAGTTTTCTGTTTAGTAAATATACATCCAAGTTTATACTCAGTCCGTTACTGTTAAAATCTTGTTTATTTCCTGCATGTCCATTTTTTCATGTTTCAGTTTCGTTTTACTAATATATAACTTTCTATTGCAGGCTTTGGGAGAGTGTCTTGGACAAGGTGATGACAATAATGATATGGATATTATAAACAAAGTGCTAAAGGTATGGCATTGTTATTCTACTAATTCAGAATCCTGGCAAATATCAGATTTTATTTACTTTGAAAACCAATTTTATTTAACCCCTTTACAACAATGGGACATGCCAAGTGGGCTTTAGGACCTTAGCATGGCATGGCACATTCTAACAATCGTGTCCCCTTCCCCCCACTGCATACTTACCAGGCATGATCCATCTTGGGGTATTGTCTGGCAACCAAGGCAGTCCCCCAGGATTAATTTGCCGCATTCGGAGTCTCGTGACAGCCAGTCACCCCAATCACAGTGTCATAGCCAATGATTTCAAACTGATCAGTGTAATCAGTACAATATTACAGTTATGTTTTTTTTGGGGTGAGTCAGGTTTCTTTTATTTTTTTTCATTTTTTTTTATTTTTTGGGGGAGAGAAAAAAAGTCTCCTTTTGCATCATGATTCATTATGATACTGTGGAAGAGGCTTACTCCATCTTAACGTGTTAATTTTTCAAGGAGAGATCTGACTGTCATTCTGGGGTTAGAAAAGCTTGTTTTCCAAAATGTGAAAGTGCTTCAAACTGTTTTTTTTTTTTTTTTTTGCCTTCTTTTGGATCAGCATGTTTACCTCGAGGAGATGTGGCAGCAGAATGCCCTACGGGAAGAAGGCAGGCTGGTGGAGGCAGTGTTATGCCCTGTATCTTGGGTCCTGTTATTCACGTGGATACTATTTTGGCACGTACCGTCTACCTAGAGATTGTTGCAGACCACATAACCCCTTCATGGCAATGGTGTTCCCTGATGGCAGTAGCCTCTTTCAGCTTGATAATGCACCCTGACACTGTAAACATTGTTCAGGAATATGACAAAGAGTTCAAGGTCCTACCTTGACCTGCAAATTTCCCAGATCTCAATCCAATTGAGCACCTGTGTGATGTTCTGAAACAACAAATCTGATCCACGGTGGCCCTACATCACAAATTGCATGACTTGACTGATCTGCAGCCAATGTCTTAGTTCTTGATACCACAGTACGTTTTCAGAGGTTTTGTGGAGTCCATGCTTTGACAAATCAAAGCTTTTTTTGGCAGCACGAAAGGGGACCTCCACAATATTAGGCAGATAATTTAAATGTTGTGGCTGATCAATGTATATAACAATGTAATCAGAAAGTAACACATTTGATCTAATTGATAGTGACACTATTACAGCCTCTGATAATGAAAGAGTGGGGCTTCTAGTGATGATTCTCCCATACTACCACCATCTGCAAGAAGTTATATGGAATGGAATGGAATCAATGTCTGATGCAAATTGGATTCCAACAAATGTAACCACCCCTGAAATATCCCCATTTATGCAACTCTTGGCATTACAATAAGCATTGAAGTTTGTGAGCCAATAAAATATTCCAAACTTTTTTTATGACCGGCATCTTGTTTGAACATACGGCTACTAAAACCAGCCAGTATCTGTCAGCTAATCATTGTTTACACCAACCTAAAAAAAACACCTGGCACTGCACTGACCTGATAGAGCTGAAAACGTATTGGCAACTGACCCTAGTAACTGTCACAAGCACCCGATCCTTGCTACTCTTTTTCCAGGGATTATGAGATATATATCACACACCTGACCAGAACATATGTATAGATAAATCACTGATGACATTTGAACTATGATAGTGTTTTTGTTTTTTAGCAATATTTCCCATCAAAGTGCTCACTCTATGGAATAAACTGTTACACAGTGACATTATGTGAATGTACTACCTGGGCATTTTTGAAGACAAAAACTGTAGAGACACAACATCTTTATGCCACAATGAAGGGCTAGCTTGTGAAGTTTTGAAGATGCGTGAAGTGTCTAAGTGCAGCGTTTCTCTGTGAAACACTGAATGGAGTTCCGAGTTGGCTAGTGTCAATTCTGTGTATTTTTTATTGCACATAATGTGAGTCATTAAATAATAGTAGTCCCTTGACACTCAAGCGTCAGCTGACTACACTTAGCCAAACAATGGTGACAGATGAGGCTTCTGCAGCTCTGTAGTAGCTGGAAGCATGTCATCAGCAGGCAACCTTGGAGCCCGGCAGGGACCCAGTTAAAGCGGCATTTTGTTGCTAAATGGTTTTCTCCATTACCTGGGATCCAGGGCAGGGAACATCGGGCTTCATAACCACTACAGCAGGTTGTTAGTGGTTATAATGATTGGATTAACCCTTTAAGTGCTTGTTATAGCGACAACATTGACTTTTGGATTCTCTGATTTTGCGTTGTTACTGTTAAGCCCAGCCACTCTAAGGTCATTATAACGTGGGTACATTCCACAACTCAAAATACCCCAGTTAGAATACCTGGGCTGCCTACTTTTGAAAATGGAATGCCATAATTGAGTTGTTTTCTTTTCTAGGGTGCCATACTGTCTCAAAAGGGTCATAGGCCCAGCAAATCAATTCATCAAATTTCCACGTTTGAAAAGGGCATGTCATATATTTTAAACTAGCATCTGTCCCTAATACCTCAGCACCGCACAAAGCTAGTGCCTACCTAAACCAAGGACCCTAATATATCGGTAACTTCAACACAAACTAAAAAAGGTGCTACCTAACAAGTGCAAAAGTGCATACTAAAATAAGTGCAAATGCACTTGTTAGGTTGTTGGAGTTACACACACACACACACACACATATATACATATATATATATATATATATATATATATGTCTTTGGTTCAGGTAGGTACTAGCTTTGTGAGGTGCTGAGGTATTAGCTACAGATGCTAGTTTACTGGCTGTGGGGTATGGTGGGAATGGAATAGTGGTCGCTACAATAGCCTGGAGATACCTCCCTTCTGCTTTGATCCTGATTAATCTTCAATTAGTAGACATCTAGGGTTTTGTTTTTTCACCTCCTCTCTGTGTAGAAATTTTGACCCCTTTCCTTATCACCACTTATTGATTCTTCTTAATAGCAAGATATTCCATCTATAGTGGAATGCCTGTCTGCACCCTATGGTGTTTTCCTACACCTAACATATATACTCTGTTCCTGTTTGGGGCCGTTTCACTGTGGATAGTAGCTCTATGCATTATGGACTAATAAAGGTTTTTTACTATATTTCTTGGCATGTAGGCTACTTATTTAACCCAAGTTGTACCTATTCCTAGACATTCACTTCCATTTGGAATGAACGCCTTGGATATTGTCTTCATTCCTTTTACTAATTTTAGTAATTAGGGTTATCCAATGTTTATCTAGTACAACTAGGTGACCTCTTTTTTGACTAGGAGATATATTAATAGGCCTTCCCCAACTTATGGTTTTAGTTGGTAGGAGACACCCAGATCTGTCCCTTGGTCAATATCCTTACTACATGATACATTTTTCTTCAGTGATTGGAACCAGCCCAGACTGCCATTTTGTCTGTTTTATATTGCATGCTTTTAAAGGTGTATAATTTATTGTGCCTGTTGATCCATTGATGCATCTTGTTTTGCAGTTTTTACTAATACAAGTTTTTTCTGCCAACTATAAAAATGCTTCTCATCATTGTTTTTAAAGTAGCAGTGGTAATACTCATGTCTGACCATTGTCTGAAAACCACACTTTCTGATCTGCCCACTAGGTGGCCTGTTGCTTAAAATCCTTATTTCCATTTAGTTCCTTCTAGGTGTATGGGCTAAGGACCTGAATGCAAGAGAAGATTACGTGAAACGTAGTGTGCATGGTAAACTAGCAAGTGCCACCCAGAAACAAACTGAATCCTACCTGAAACCATTGTTCCGGAAACTACGGAAAAAGGTATTCACATGGTTACACAGCTTTCCGCAGCCTGTAATGTAAAGGAGCTCTCACACCCTTCTACAGTTCATATGACCAAGGCCTTCCTTTCACATTTTTACATTCTAGGTCAGCCATGGATTACCTTGGCATGCAGATATTTGTGAATTAAATTTCCATTCATGCTCAGTCAGACTCAAACTGCCTCTAAGCATCCTAGAACTGTAGTTCAGACATCAGAGGTGACTAATATGTTCTAAATTTTAGGTAAAAAACAGTAATCAATATTCTGTTGGATATTTGTCTCAAACACTAACCACTTTATTTCATGGCAAAATGAGGTTTTGATGCCATTTAAGGTAAGATCCAGTGTGCACATTGTAAAGAATACAGGAGAAAACGTAAATTCACAAAGATTTTGTGAAAACAATGTAATCCAGGCACTTAGGGTCTTAATAAAGCAGCTGATTTATTGGAAAAACACTGCAAAAACAATGTTTCGATCCCCAATGGAATTGTTGTCAAGCTAGATACTTCAACAAAGATTTTGTGTCACCTGGCATCTTTGTTGAAGCATCTCTTGTCTAAATCATTTCCTCATACAACCTCCTACCTGCAGTCACAGATTCTTCGATTTACATCATTCCATTTACCTTTTTTTAACCAGTGTTGACGTCTAATGAATTATTGCAATTTCATAGCAGGTAGAAATTCAACTTCTGTAAACGAGATTTTCTTTTGTCACCAGATATTTACCACAATCCTATGCATGGTATTCAGTAAAATAGGGCAAACAGTGTTTTGTATGAAGCCTTGAATAAGTCGTAACTTAGACACATTTTCCATTTCTGTATATACTGCGCAACAACCATAGGCATTTTGTTATTTGGGTTGTAAAATGAAATGATGCAGAGAAAACCAAAAAAAGACTAAATAGTTTTCTGCTTAAAGTGCAGTTTTTTACCTTAACCCCTTACTTTAACTCAGTACCTATGTTAAGTTGGTGACCAGGAGATGGTTTGAGGCTGTCAAGCAGGACAGTAGTATAATTTGGTATCCCAGGGCTCCAATTTGTTTTAAAATGGCACTCTCTGCTAGTTCACCAATATAGTCTCCACTTCTGTGCTTTGTATAATTCTACTGTGAATATATAAAGAAGAGATACCAAACGTTATTAGCCCTGCTCAGAAAAAGAGAGATCACAGTTTTGAGTAACTAAGCACAACTACTGTACTTGAACATCTTAAATGAAAATGAAAGGCTGGTTATTTAGGATTTTCATTAAACTTACAAATTGCCAACATGCTCCACACCACTGTACATTGGACAAACCAAATATTTGCAAGTCATCCAGTGTGGAATGGAAAATCAGTGGACATTTGTTATGGAGCAGAAGGAGGAATATGAGCTATATGGCAACATTTTAAACAGTTTTTATTGTTAAAGGAACACTATTAGATCAGGAATACAAATGTATATTCCGGACCATACTGTGTTAAAAACATGATTTAGGTGCCAGGCCTGCCCCCCTTTATCCACTTACAAAGGGGGCAGATTTCCAGAGATTTCACTCAAGAACTAGCTGGGGTGGGGAGAGTTGTTTTGCACGAGCTCCCGCACCATCCTTACCATTTAAGCCTATTGCAGGGCTATCGTTGAAGACATTTGCGACTAACTCTGTCCTCATGCCAGGGGCCATGCAGTTTTATAGTCAGCAACGTGATGGGAACGTACTTATTTCCTGCTGGACCTTGCGGCTTGGTGCGCACCGGGTGGGAGAGATGGCCGCTCTCCTATCCCAGCAGTGTGCACAAGCTCATTACCCCCCCTCTCTCCCCTGGACCGGTGGGGGTGATCCCGATCCACTCTTGGGAGGCTGCCCTGGAGTAGTCAGGGCTCAAGATGAAGCCACAGGGGCAGAGAGAACGGACGACTCACTCAAGATGGCGGACAACAGGCGTTCCAGTAGGTCCAGCGACGATCACACTGGCCAAATTGGGAGTGCCAGAGGGCTATTTGTGCAATTTGGGTGGCTTGGTAGTAAAAGTGTAAGTGAGGTAGTCCCAGTCCTCCTCTTGGTTTGGGTCGATAAAGTATGTTACGAGATTCTCTATGTTTTTTATCCTGCCAAATGAACTGGTCTATGGCCCTCTGTAGGGGGACCAGATCTTGTCTCGAGATGGGGAGAGGTAGGGCTTGGAACAGGAATAAAATGTGCGGGAGGATGTTCATTTTTACGGAATGTATTCTTCCGATCCAGGAAAGGGGTTTGTCTGCCCAGGTTTCCATATCCGATATGAGTGCGCTGATCATGGTTGTGTAATTCAATCGATGTAATTGAGAGGGGTCCGCTGGTAGTTTGATACCTAGGTATATGAGAGATGTAGGTGAGATATTTATGTGGTAGTCTGTTCTAATTTGGGTGATGTCCGTCGCTTGGAGGGTTATGGGGAGCGCACTAGATTTGCCTTTATATCCAGAGATAGTGCTATATGTTGTTGTGGAGTGGGATCAATGCTCGGATGGATGTGACTGGGTCAGTTAAGGTGAGAAGGATGTCATCGTAATATCCGGAGACCAGGAATTCCTGGTCTCCCACCCTCACACCATAGATCAAGGGATGTTCTCTTATCGCCTGTAGCAGGGCTCGAGGGTCAGGACCAAAAGTAAGGGGGAGAGAGGGCATCCCTGTCAGGTACCACTTCCTATAGCGAAAGAGGGGCAGACTGCTCCTGAGATTTTAACGTGTGCCGTGACGGTGTATAACGTTTGAACTGCGGTGATATAAAGGGGGGAAATCCCAGGAATTGTAGTAGTACAAACATGCAGGGCCATTTTACGCGGTCAAAGGCTTTTCCACGTCAAGGGAAAGTGCTAGCGACGGTGTTCTCAATGACGCCAATTTCCATATTACATCTATATTGCGGTGAATGTTTTCGAAGAGCCGTCTGCCTGGTATAAAACCTACTTGGTATGTGTGGATTAAGTGCGTTTTAAAATGGGTTTAGTCTCTCGGCGAGTGTTATGCGAAGAGTTTGCCGTCATGATTAATGAGGGAAATGGGTCGGTATGCTTCTGGTAAAGTTTGGTCTCTAACCGGTTTTGGGATTAGGCCTATGTTGGCTTGCGTCATGTCCCGATCGGGGGTACTCCCAGTCATTGTGTCTCGGAAGAGGGTCTCCAGGTGTGGAAGCAATTCTTCGCAAAATACTTTATAGTAGCTCCCTTCAAAACCGTCCGGACCTGGGGCTGTGTTACTCTTTAGGGTTGAGATGGCCGCATTTATTTAGTCTATGGAGATAGTTGCAGACAGATCTGTTATGGCTGTCGTGTACAATTTGGGTAACTTCAAGCGAGTAAGGAACTCAGTTATAGTCAGGAGTGGAATGCCATCTGGTGTGTTTAGGGGAGAGTGATTATATAATGTTTTTAAAAAGGATGTAAATACCTGAACTATGTAGCTTGGGGAGGTTTTTAGCGTACCGTCTGGAGCTTTGATAGAGGTTATGTGTGGTGACGTGGTGTAGGCCGCAGCGTACGGGCCAGTAACTTATCCATTTTGTTGGATTTATCGTAATATGTCCTCTTGGACCATATTAATGAGTGGGCTGTGTCATGGATGAGATGCTCCCGGATGGAGGAGTCGGTGGGTGAGTTGTTGGGTTTAAGTTTCTTTTTATGCGTTGCTATTTTGATAAGGGAACCCCGTATCACGGCTTTGTGTGCTGTCCGTACTGTCGTCATAGGTACATCTGATGTTAGGTTTTCCGAAAAATAGGTGGTTATCTGCGTGCGAATGTTGTCTATAACCCCTGGGTCTTTCAGGAGAGAGGTGGTCAACCTCCATGTCCATGGGGTGGGGGTGTGCAGTCCGCTAAAGTATATTGCGACGTCCGCGTGGTCGGACCACGCTATGGAATCAATTTCTGTTATCAGGGCTTTTGTAAAGTTTCATGAGGAGTCCGGGTGCCCCCTCCCCAGTACAGAGCAATTTCCGAGGGCTTTAGAGTAACTCCCCTGTACCTTATTGCCACACACTGGATCTATGCATGGGTCCGGGCATGTGGGGTGGAAGCAGGTGTCGGTGAGGAAGTCGGATGGCGTGAACCGGTGGTTTCTCGTTGTCACTCTGTGGCTGAGTACCAATCTCTTGGCAAGGTCGGCAAGGCTGTAGCTGTATTAGTCGGCAGGGTGAGGTTCTCCGGCGCTTTTATGCCCAGGGCTTGAAGAAAGCGTGTTGGGCTGGCGCAGGGTAGGAGGATTTTGGACCTTCCGTTCTTGAATACAAGGAGCTTGAACGGATGGCCCCAAGCGTATTGCACAGTGTTGGCTCTGAGAAGTTCACTGGTTTCCACTCCCTCCTGCGTTGGAGAGTGATGGGGACGAGATCTTGGAAGAAGGTGATGTCTCGACCGTTGAATTTCACCGGGCCGTCGCGGGACCTCTTAAGCACTGCCTCTTTTGTTGCTCAGGTAAGCCGTGTATACGGCGGTTATTGCAGCGTGACCTGTTCACCAAGTCCTCTAAGGCCGCTTCGGTTGCTTCCAGCCGGGAGGTGATCTGGGTGACATGGTCTGCTACAGCATTGTGTGCAACTGAGGTGGTTTCCATGCGTTATTCCAGGGCTGCTGTTCTTGTGCCTAGTGAGTGGATCTCTGCTGACACTGCTCTGGAGCTGCGCTCGATTTCCCGAGCTAGGTAGGTCTTGACGGCCGTCAATAGTGATAGGTTATGTGAGCTCTCTGAGGTAGTGCTGTCTCGTGGTGGTAAAGCCTCTGACCCTGTATGGGGAGCGTGCTTTTGGCTAGAAGGCCGGTGAGGAGCTCTAGACAAACACGTCCAGCTTGATTCCCGGTCAAGCCACGCCCCCAGGGATTTAATTTCTAATTAGTGGGGTAATAGCTGCTTGATCCAAGGAGATATGACTGCCATTTTGGGGTCAAGAAGTAATTTTTTCCTAGTTTGTTGCAAAATTGGAAGCGCTTTAGACTGGGTTTTTTGCCTTCTTTTGGATCAACAGCAAAAACATATGTGAGGAAGGCTGAACTTCATGGACACAAGTTTCTTTTCAGCTAAGTAACTATGTAACTCCCCCCAAAATGTTGTATCAGGAGAGCCTCAACTCATTCTTGGCAAACATAGACATGCCTAGGGTGACTGAGAGGAAGGCAGACCTACTGAAAGCACCCATCTCCCAAGAGGAAGTAGACCTGGTCTGGTACGTGACAGAATCAAACCCCCTCTAGAAGGATTTTGATAGAGTCCAATGACCGCTCCCAGGGATTCCCTGAGTAATTTATAACCGCCATCAAGGCCTTATACACAGATCTAAAAGCACAGACCATCATAACAGGGGCCCTGAAATCCCCTTTCTGGTTGAGCAACGGGACGCTACAAGGGTGTCCCCTGTCACCACTCCTCTTTGCGATCTACCTAGAGCGGCTACTACATTCCTTCACAAATACAGGGGGTACAGATCATGAATCAGGAATTCAAAATGGCGGCATATGCCAACGACGTGTCACTGACGATTACCGACCCAATACACTCTATGGCCAGATTAGAAACACTTCTACACGACTATGGTGACATCTCGAAATACAAGGTAAATCTCACCAAGTCGATAGCAATGTCCTTTCACATGCCGACCAGGAAGGGACGCTCATCAGACAGATCCACCACATCAAAACTAGCGCAGACGCACTCACATACCTAGGAGTACAACTTACAGAAGACACCAACGTGATATTGAGGTACAATTACACTCCACTCTTCATAACATTGAAGAACGACCTAGAAAAATGGACAGATAAACCCATAACATGGCTGGGGCGGCTACATTTAGTTAAGGTGAATGTCCTGCCCAGACAGCTGTTCCTCTTCCAATCTATACCAGTACAGGTCATGAGGGGAGACCTCGCTGACATGCAGAGAGCTATAGATACATTTATTTGGCAAAGGAAAGGACCCAGAATAGCCCGCACCATACTTTGTGCCAAAATGGAGGGGTGGGCAGGGATATTTTTAATATCTTGCAGCACAATTAGCCCAAATTGCACATTGGCACTGCCCCTTGGAGCAAAGAACGTGGGTGGACATTGAATCACTCCTAACTGGCGCCTACCTACCACAATTCTACATGTGGACTCCCTGGGAACACAGAGTTATCCTCAGGACAACCTGTCCCTCGATTCTTAACTCCATTAGCATTTGGGATCAAGTGGCACAGAAATATAGTCTTACCAATACTCCCTCGCTCATGACCCGGTACTAAGAAACAGAGTGTTCCTGCCAGGGACTTCAAGGGAATTGAGGCCGCGGGAGTACAAAGTTATGTACATCTATACGTTAACGACGAGGTAGTAACATATGAATACATGAGATCGCTTGCCCCCTTAGGCACCCGCGATTTCTTCAGATATGTACAGCTCAGGGACTTTGCACGGGCCGCCGGGGTTAGAAATGTAGTAGCAAACAGACTGACCTTTTTTGAAAAAAAATTGCTTTATTTAGGATAAACGTTGGAGGGAACTGACTGGTAAGACATCTGGGAGGCCTGTGCAAAGACATCCATTGTACAGCGCTACAGAATCTGATGGCGCTATATAAATACTAAAATAATATGTACCTCCCTACAGGAACAGGCATAAAAAACGCTCTTTAGGTGGTACACGACCCCTGTCAAACAATGCCACATGAAAAAAAGGACGAACACTTGCTAGCACCTATGTGGAGAGAAAGGTAGCTATATACATATGTGGTGGCACTGTCCCAAAGTCGGGGATTTCTGGCATGAAGTGGTAGATCTGAGCTCACGAATACTACAGAGACTGCTAACACTAGATCCATGTGCCTGCCTCCTGTCCAAACCCTACAGAGGAACTAGCTAAACCAGAGCAAAGATTATTGAACATGCTCTATCTTTTCTACCCTGTCCCATAGTGGACAAGTGTTCTGACGGGGCAGGGCGGTCACCAGCGGAGACAAACCTTTCAGATCAGCATACGCAGAACCAGAGCAAGATGGCCTAGGGGCAAACTGACATAGGCATTGCTAAGACAACATCAAATGCTATAAGCTCGTAAATATGTACCATTAGGGCCGTAAAGAGGCAGAGACAGGGCAACGGATTGGAGGCGACACGGGTGAGGTCACTTGGCTTTTGCACAAACTGTACGATATTGTATTGCTGCTACTCTGTCGATGCATAAATAAAGAATTTTTTTTTTTTTAAATCGTCCCTCTGGACTGGTGGGGTGTATCGTGGTCCCCACTACTCACAAGATGGCTGCCGCTTACAAGCCTGCACTTCCTCATGCCCCATTGCTACAGGTCTTTCTGGAGGTGTGGCTCAACCAGGCCTTCTCATTACCCTGGTCATAATTCTGGGCTAAGATATGATGGACCACAAGAACCGAAGAACGACAAGCCACGTATTCGCACACTTCGATTCTAAACTATATAACTTACGCCCGAATGAAAATACACACAACCCAGATGATGAGAGTATCTCTCAATATCTGTCCCAAGTCCATTTACCACAGCTTACCTGAACCCAGGTAGAGGAGCTCCAACACCCTATAACACTCGAAGAGGTTCTAGCTGCTATTAAAGATTTACCCCCAGCCAAGTCCCCAGGAGCAGATGACCTCACGAACGCCTATTATAAGACCTATGCAGAAGTACTAGCTCCCCATTTGCTGAAGGTATACCTTGAGGCCACCACCAGCATATGCTCCTAGCCACAATTATTACAATTCCCAAACCTGATAAATCCGCTGATGACTGTAAGAATTCTGTCTGATCTCCTCCTAAATACTGACGAGAAATTATATGCGAAAATCTTGGCGAATAGACTGAGCCCAGTACTACCAAACCTCTTAGCTAGTGATCAAACACGGTTTGTTAGGGGGAGACAGGGATCAGATAATACCCATAAACATTCACTTATATATGAGCAGCTCCAGGGATCCAGCCGAGGGGGTCTACTCCTAGCACTAGATGAAGAAAAGGCGTTTGACCGCCTTGGTTGGCCCTTCCTGAAACACACCATGACCAAATATGGATTTCCCAGCAGGTCGTAACACAAATATTTGCCCTGTACTCTGCTCCCATGACTCGAGTCATGCAGTCTGGGTTCCTCTCTGAACCCTTCAAGATCACAAACTGGACTAGACAAGGGTGCCCACTGTCCCACCTACTATATGTGCTGGCATTGGAGCCCCTGCTCGCTGCAATAAGGGATCACCCTAGCAGGCTGTCGTGTCTATCCTCCGTGAACAATATCCCTTTGACTGGAGGAAAGATAACCTTACGTAGGCCTACTCTTAACCAAAAATGCAACGGAATTATATACAGGGAACCATATAAGGGTTTAGAATGAGTGCAAACAAAATCTCAAGCGCTTGGCACCGTTATACCTGACATGGACGGAATTGTGGCATTCAAGATGACCATCCTGCCCAAATTGCAATATATGTTCTGTACCCTACCTATTACGGTCCCGAACATGTTTTTCAAAATGGTCCAAAGAGACACAAATAGCTTTATATGGACAGGATCCAGACCAAGAGTAGCTAATGAAAAGCGGGTGGCCTGGGGATCCCTGACATAAAAGCCTACTATCATAGGCTTAATGTGGCTGCCTAAACTGCATAGATCACCCCTGCCCACATCATCTAACCTAATAGCACTAAGCCTGCAGATGTGGGACATACACAGATCCGCACTTAGCTCCCAGACCCCTATCTCACCAGCTACTCCAATAGCAGACCTCCCGTATTGCATACCTACCTTTCATACCAAACCATGGCAAGATAAGAAGCTGACACACTTACACCATATTCATCCTTGAGGGAAACTATTAGATATTCCATACCTAAGAGACACACATGAGTTATTGCAGGCCTCACAATTTTCATATATGCAATTGAAATCATTCCTAAATAAGACACTGCCTGCTAACCCACACCCTGAGCACAAGGAACAGAGCATTACACTCTGGGAAAAAATTTGTATTAATGGGCAATTACCACCTACTTGTAAGCCCATCTCCATGTGTTACAAAAGGATTGTGGATCACCTACCATTCCCCAAAATGAGAATAGCACAGCAATGGAACACGGATTTGGGACTAGACATTCCTCCGCAACAATGGAATGCTCTGTTTCTGGACACCGGCTGTCTGATTAAATCCGCCACCCTGTTGGAACAACAGAGAAAAGTAATGTATAGGTGGTACATGGTACCGACACATCTCCATAAAATCTGCCCAGATAGGGCCCCCACCACCTGTTGGAGATGTGGACTAGAAGAAGGGACAGTTCACCACATATGGTGGCAATGTCCATCCCTTTTTGGATATCTGTCCAAAACCTCCTTGAAAACACGACCGAACTCAAAATACCCCTTAACCCACAGATCTATGTACCTATGCTTCTCCCGTAACGGATACCCAAATTTAAACGAAAACTCATTTACCATATGCTACTGTCAGCCCATAAATTAATAGCCAGAGCATGGAAGTCCACACAATGCCCGTCTATGTCTGTCTATGCTAACCTCGGACATAGAAAACTAACATACTTATGAACGTAACTTTAGTAAACTGTCTCCCTCATCCCAGACAACCGTTGCAGCATGGAACGCCTGGGACACATGGAGATCGGTCCACTCTGTACACCAGAGTACCACTAATGTACAATATACGCTATCCATGTCATAACAATGTATGTATAAAAGGAAGCCATTGCCACCTTTCTTGTCAGAAATGTTGGAAGGTCTCTTCCTAGAATCAATACCGCAGTAGGTGATACCCACAAAATACTATGTACTATTTGTCTGCTGCACCTTCCCCTCCCTCCCTGCCTTTTTTCTGTACCCGTCCCCCCTCTATTTGTTTGTTTCTTTGACAAAAAAAAAAAAGAAGAAAAATTAAATAAATAAAAAGAACTTAAGAACAAGTACGCTCCAGAAAGAGAATCTGGGATCCTGTTGCAGTCACCGGGCGAGGCTGGACATGTTGGATTGGGCGCATTTGATCATCTTGAAGTGTGGGCCTGGCGGAGCAACTTTGATTGCTGCAGGGCTCTGGGACTCATACCTTACCGCAAGAGAGCCTGCTGTGTGTAGTGAATAGGCTGATGTGCAACATTAATTTCTATAGCAGAGTTTTGTTTTGTCTAATTTAAATATGTATCTGCATATGCATTGGGCAACAGTGTAATCCTGTTTTTTCTGTGGTCATAGTACCCAGTGGCACATTTAAGTTTACTGGTTAATCTTATTCTTGCTTGTTCACTTATAAGTCTGTATACTCTACTCCACTAGCCATTGGTGCCAATATAATGCTTTGTTTTCATGTAGTTATATGTCTGACACCATTGCATGTCTCATATGTGCTATACTTCTTAATCGATCTATAATGCTAGTTTTATACCAGACAGTTTTCGTCTTATCTAACCTAAGCTTGAAGTTTGACAAAAAAAACTTTTTTTTTTCAAAAATAGCACCCTGTATGGCGTGCTCCATGTTATCTGTGAATGCCAGTTTACCATGTGCAGAAATAAGTAAATTGTGCACCATATTTAATCTTAACACTGTCACCGTCTGGGGACTTTGTGAATTCTGCAAACACCCCCCATGGTAACATTGCCGACGGGGGACAGGTAAAGGTGAGTTTTACTTATCTAAACCTGACCCTTATGGGTGCTGCCATCTTTTCTTTATGGGTCCTCTTCAGCTTAAGCGGCAGGAGCCGAGTCACTGTTGCTCTCTCGCTCACGTGCAAGAGTACAGCTTTGAGGTCTATGGATGATACAGAGAGAGCGCAGGTTCCTCTATAGACAGACAATTCCCTGCAGCCATTGCTGGTGATGACTGGGACGAATTTACAGAGAAAAGGTGCAGGCACACCAATAGCTTCAGGCAAGTTTATTGGAACACTGCAACATCCCGACCCAGAATCGGGTCTTTTGACACATCTAAACGATGGTCCCTACTTTGTCTCAGTAAATCTCTTGACTGGGTTGGAATTTTGGTGAAATTCCAACACAGTCAATGTGAGTATTTCATAAAGATTCAATCTTTACGAAATGCAAATTTTTCGGGGAGGGTTGACCGTGCCGTTTTAACAACTATTGTTCCCACTGTGCCTCTTGAAATACAGGGAGTGCAGAATTATTAGGCAAATGAGTATTTTGACCACATCATCCTCTTTATGCATGTTGTCTTACTCCAAGCTGTATAGGCTCGAAAGCCTACTACCAATTAAGCATATTAGGTGATGTGCATCTCTGTAATGAGAAGGGGTGTGGTCTAATGACATCAACACCCTATATCAGGTGTGCATAATTATTAGGCAACTTCCTTTCCTTTGGCAAAATGGGTCAAAAGAAGGACTTGACAGGCTCAGAAAAGTCAAAAATAGTGAGATATCTTGCAGAGGGATGCAGCACTCTTAAAATTGCAAAGCTTCTGAAGCGTGATCATCGAACAATCAAGCGTTTCATTCAAAATAGTCAACAGGGTCGCAAGAAGCGTGTGGAAAAACCAAGGTGCAAAATAACTGCCCATGAACTGAGAAAAGTCAAGCGTGCAGCTGCCACGATGCCACTTGCCACCAGTTTGGCCATATTTCAGAGCTGCAACATCACTGGAGTGCCCAAAAGCACAAGGTGTGCAATACTCAGAGACATGGCCAAGGTAAGAAAGGCTGAAAGACGACCACCACTGAACAAGACACACAAGCTGAAACGTCAAGACTGGGCCAAGAAATATCTCAAGACTGATTTTTCTAAGGTTTTATGGACTGATGAAATGAGAGTGAGTCTTGATGGGCCAGATGGATGGGCCCGTGGCTGGATTGGTAAAGGGCAGAGAGCTCCAGTCCGACTCAGACGCCAGCAAGGTGGAGGTGGAGTACTGGTTTGGGCTGGTATCATCAAAGATGAGCTTGTGGGGCCTTTTCGGGTTGAGGATGGAGTCAAGCTCAACTCCCAGTCCTACTGCCAGTTCCTGGAAGACACCTTCTTCAAGCAGTGGTACAGGAAGAAGTCTGCATCCTTCAAGAAAAACATGATTTTCATGCAGGACAATGCTCCATCACACGCGTCCAAGTACTCCACAGCGTGGCTGGCAAGAAAGGGTATAAAAGAAGAAAATCTAATGACATGGCCTCCTTGTTCACCTGATCTGAACCCCATTGAGAACCTGTGGTCCATCATCAAATGTGAGATTTACAAGGAGGGAAAACAGTACACCTCTCTGAACAGTGTCTGGGAGGCTGTGGTTGCTGCTGCACGCAATGTTGATGGTGAACAGATCAAAACACTGACAGAATCCATGGATGGCAGGCTTTTGAGTGTCCTTGCAAAGAAAGGTGGCTATATTGGTCACTGATTTGTTTTTGTTTTGTTTTTGAATGTCAGAAATGTATATTTGTGAATGTTGAGATGTTATATTGGTTTCACTGGTAATAATAAATAATTGAAATGGGTATATATTTGTTTTTTGTTAAGTTGCCTAATAATTATGCACAGTAATAGTCACCTGCACACACAGATATCCCCCTAACATAGCTATAACTAAAAACAAACTAAAAACTACTTCCAAAAATATTCAGCTTTGATATTAATGAGTTTTTTGGGTTCATTGAGAACATGGTTGTTGTTCAATAATAAAATTAATCCTCAAAAATACAACTTGCCTAATAATTCTGCACTCCCTGTAATTAAATCAGTGTTTAAATTTTGGCATTCAGAATATGCAGGTAATGTGCTTTGTAATCTTAAATGGACAATTTTATTGTTGTAATGTTCTTTTTTTTCTTTTTTGTTATGCATTATTTTTAACAGTTTGACCATATTTTTTTTCTCACAGAATCTTCCTGCTGACATCAAAGAATCCATAACGGATATCATCAAATTTGTGTTGCAAAGGGAATATGTGAAGGTAAAGTGTATTGAGATTGAATGTATCATTTCTGTATTCAGGGCTAGAAGTCTAGGAGGTTAATCCCTGTCTGTTGAATTTGGTAATCAGTGTCTGCACCCATTGTATTTAAGTTGATTAGATGCTGCCTTAAACTACAGTTGCTTTAGAGAATGTGTTGTGTAATAATTTATATATTTTAGTTTTGTACGTCTCCGTGGTTAAATATTACAATAGCATAATCAGATTGGACGTTTTCCCAAGTGGGCATTTTGCGAGCAAAAATATAGATGGGGATGGTGGAGTTGCAGTTTGACTTGGAGAATAATACTGTCAACCAATTTTAATTTCAGTTAAAAATTAATTATTTTTGTGCGTATAACCAAACCTGTTTAAGCAATAAATGTGACAACTAGGCAAATGTTCTGATACATTTCTGAAACTACATTCGTTTTGACCAAATTCAGACAAACAAATATTTCTCAAACATGTTTGACATTTTTCACCTGTTAATTTAAAAGAATATAGACCACATTCAAGTATTATTTATTTAATAAATATATATACACACACACATACATACATATACACACACACACTGTATGTGTCCATCACAAATCATTTTTGTTTTTTTTCCTCTATGCACTAATGGTTTCCTTTTGAATTACTGGAAATTTTAATCCTATAGGGTAGTGAAATGTTTGCTTAATTCTGTTAACTGTTTTTGGCACCCTCATGCCGCAGTAGGAACTATCACTAATTACAACCAATCAAAGACAGCATAGAACATTCTTTGTATGTCTTGGCTCTGATTTAGTTTTGACATATGGGCTGAGCTAGAGTTAATAAGCAGCGGAAACCAATCTAAACTAGCATCTCAAATATATGTCTGGAAACGCTCTGCTGTGCATGTTCTATTCCAGTGTCTTTCTGGCTCAGGAGCAATAGTTAAAGCAGCATGTGTAATTTAGATAGCGAGAAATGGGGTACTGTTCTTCTTAAACCTTGAAGTATGATGGAGAAGGAGGAAAGCAAATAATTGCATGTTACTATGTGGTAACACATACTTCCAAGAAATGCCAATGCATAAATTAAGACATTTTGCTTTTCTGTCTTTTGAAAGACCAAACCACATGTAGTGTATAAGTAATATATACAAGATGATGTTTTTCATTAAACCGTAGACTGTAGTGAATTGAAAACCACGATGCAAAGTTTTGGCTAATATAGGGCATCTTCAAATAATTTTTCTATATCAACGATAAGCACAGCCCATTGTATTAGTTATGGTGCTGGTAGGCTGGTTGTGCCATCTCCAGTTCCGTCAACTCCTTTCAAGTTGTTTGACACAAATGTAAGATCCCTGGGCACCTGGGGTCTGGCCATTCAGTCTCCATATTGATAATGTAGGTGTGGGTTTTTTTAAGCAATGATTGTTTCATCTAAATTCAAGCATGTAAAAACTGGTGATTAATTCTGCATATACATGGGTGACAGCAGGAATTTTTCGGGAGGGGGGACAACGACAATATTGTAATGACATCCATGCTTGGTCCCTTTTTGACAGTGTCATGAAAGGGAAGGGGCATAGTCATTATCACATAAAGCCAGGGTAAATAGCGTTTTCACAACTATGGTGTCAGGAATACATGTTTGTATTCCTGACACTATAGGGTTCCTTTAAGCAAATTAAAGGAACATTCTGGTCACCATAACAACTTCATCTAAATGAAAATGCTATGATGCCAGGAAGCCCCTGGGTGCTTTCTTTCCTTTAAGGGGTTAAACTGCTCTCAAATGGTTTAACCCCAAAGGCTTCCTCCAGCTCCAGATCTCCAGGTCGCTCAGTGGTATTCTGCTTCTGAAACGGAGTGTCAGTAAGTGCAGATTGACGTCAGGCATGGGTGCTGCAGATTGGCTAGAGTGGTCAGTTGATGCTCTAAGCCAATCGCTAGTTCCAGTTCATAAAAATATTTTACTTTTTTTATTTAGATATGCAATATAAAGCCAAGCCCCCACACACAGTTTGTAGTCTGGAAGGAAGAAGGGCCAGGACAAATTAATATTTTACAAATATATATTTTTTATTTTATTGACATTTTTTTTGTAGAAAGATAGGCAGGCAGAACTGTGTAAAAAATAAAAATAAAAAAACCTTTAAAAAATTAATCCCCTCTTTATCCTTCGTCTTACTATAAAAGTCCCTAAAATCAACAATGCCCCATCTGTCTGCCAGCCCTTGACAGGGTGGGTAGGTAGGACTTTTTATTTGATGGTCAAGGTGAGGCAACTGCAGCCGGGGAGAGCTCTTCTGGAGTGCAGCTGTGCAAGTGGGCATGGCTCTTCCCTCTTCAAGCATGGAACACTACCCAGGCGACTGTGTTCCACACATTTATTGCTTCCACCCAGTACGTGCCGGAAGTGGCTTGAGTGTGCACAAGCGCACCGCTGGAAGATACTTCAAGAAGAACAAATTTTCTGGTTGCGACGTGTTACACTTAGAAATTGTGGTGTGCTACGTGCATGTGCAATCTCTGCACTTTGGTGCTGAATACCAATAGGAAGACCTTGGAGACTATTTAAATACAGCCACAACTACCTGACAGCCAGATGCTGTTCGGCTATGTTGTAGGTGTGCTCGTATCAGTCCTCCAACCCACCCAGAGGTAAGGTTTTTAGACTTTCTAGTATGTCTAATCCTGGAACTTCAGAGAAATCTATGGAGAAAGGTTCCTCTGAAGTCTATCGAAGTCCAAATATCTAGTTTGTGCATCCTGCAATCAGCTCATGTGTCTGGCCCCCTCTCCTCTGCCTCCTTACCTCATGGTCCTATGCCGTGTTTTAATCTCTACTCACGGAGGTGCCGTGCCAGGACTCTTCAAACCTGTAACAGCCGGCCCGCCTCCACCGATGACTGGCCACAGTACTGCAGGCTCAGGCGGTGCGCAGCAACGCAGCTCTGCTCTGAACTCCATTCCCTCATGGCAGAGCAACAAGGGTGATCTAGGGCGCACGTGCGACACCTTCTTAAAGGTACAGAAGGGGAACCAAAAGGAGGCAGAGTTACGGTAAATGGACATACCTCTTCTCCCTGTTTAAACACCACTCCTACTAGTACTCATTGCTCAGTTATACTGTGCTCCTGTTGTGTTAAGACCTTCAGTGACTACTCTGCTGTATCCTCTATTGACCCTTGCCTGATTCATCCCTCCTAAACCTGTGCTTGCCTGTTCTGACCTTTAGACTTTCCTGATTATTCTCAGTCTGACCCTTCTGTACTGCGAATCTGGTTTATGTTCTTTCAGCGCTCTTCTGCATTGTGGACTTCGTCTACTAAGCAGTGATCGAAACACCATGCCAGGTGGGTTATAAAAAGCTGAACTTGCCTCTTTCCAGTCTTCCTCTCTAGTCTCCAGCAAACCCTTTGTCACCACTACAGGGGATGTAAGACCCTCACAGAAAATAAGAAACATAAGCTAAAAATTTCTGTAGACTCAAGTTCTGATTTCTCAGGTAACGCATTCTCCGAAGATTTGGATACTTCATCTGATGAGGATTTTGCCTTTCCCGATAAATTCTTACATAAACTTATTGAAGAAGTTTCTCTGTGTATGGAAGATAATTTAGATCTAGGTAAACAGAAGAAAATTAAATCCTTTTTTTTCACACTAAGCATAGTCATATCATGCTTTAGGAGTGGAAATTTCCCTCCAAGAAAACATTTATTACCAAATGCTCTAAAACTATATTTTCTGTTAACGAATAAGAAAATAAGAGCTTCCGAAAATTGATGTACCTATTGCACAGCTAGGCAAGAAAACCACTCTGCGTATTGGAGACTCAAGTGAGTTGCAAAATGCCATGGACAAGAAAGCGTAAACTACTTCAAGAAAAATGTTTTTATCTAATGCAGCACCAAGTAATTGATTACAGGTTCATCTGTAGCTAAATCACTACGCCAGTTATTGGATTCACTTAAAAACGTAATTATCTGGATACTGTCAGATTTCTTTAAAATATCAGGATATCGTCTAATTTCTTGACAGACTCAACTGCAGATGCCCTTAAACTGGCGGCCAAATCAACAGGACTTTCTACAGTAGTCAGAAAGGCTCTCTGGCTGAGAGGTTGGTAGGCAGACACTTCATCCAAACACTCCTTATGTGACGTGCTGTTCAAACAAAGTAGATTGTTTGGTTCTCAACTGGATGATCATCTAAAACAAATGGCAGAAAGGAAAAAAGGCACTTCCAGAAGAGAAAATGTTGGAACAAGAGATTTACATACAGAGATTATTTTCACAGGATCAGTTCAGGCTACTATCAGGATCAGTTCATGGCACTTTCTACATTTAAACGCCGCAGGCGCCCCCAACAACAACCCTGGCACACCAAGTACACTCGATACCTCCAAAAATGCTCTAGAACTTCTGAACGCTGTTGGAGAAAGTCTCACTGTGCGTCTGACTTTCTCCACTATAAATTTATGCTGCGCTCATACAGCTTGGCTCTTTCCTCTGCAAAAGTAAATTACTTCAATACCCTCATAACCACACTCTCCCGCGAACCCAAATGACTATTTCACACATTTAACTCTCTTCTTCGCCCTGTTGTTCCTCCTTCACCTACTAACTTGACCGCCTCAGACTTTGCAAACCACTTCACTGACAAGATCTCTACAATCAGGGAAGAGATCTCTCATCTATCTTCTTCCCCTTACAATACTTCCCCTAACTTCACTCCCTCTGCTGTTCTATGTTCATTCGCACCCGCTACATTGGAAGAGGTTTCTGCTCTGCTCCAGTCCTCCCACCCCACCACCTGCTCCCTAGATCCAATTCCCTCGCATCTCATCCGTACTCTGTCTTCTTCTCTTTCTCCACCTCTCACTAAAATTCTCAATCTCTCTCCTCTGGTATATTTCCATCGCCCTTCTAACATGCAACTGTAACCCCAATTCTAAAGAAGCCCAACCTTGACCCTAACTCCCCATCCAACTACCGTCCTATCTCACTACTGCCATTTGCATCCAAGATCCTTGAAAGAATTGTGTATGCGAGATTGACAGACTTCCTTGAGTCCAACTCTCTGCTAGACCCACTTCAGTATGGTTTCCGCGCTAAGCACTCCGTGGAAACGGCACTGACCAAAGTATCCAATGATATACTCGCTGCAAAATCTCGTGGTCACTACTCTATCCTAATTCTCCTTGACCTGTCTGCAGCTTTTGACACTGTTGATCATCAACAGCTTCTTCTCATCCTCCGCAATATCAGTCTACAAGATATTGCTCTCTCCTGGTGCTCCTCCTACCTCTCCCAGTGCTCTTTCAGTGTTATTTTCTCTGGCTCTCCTTCTTCTCCCCAACTCCTCTCTGTTGGTGTCCCCAAAGGTTCTGTCCTTGGTCCCTTATTGTTCTCCATCTATACTGCCTCCCTTGGTAAACTCATTGGCTCCTTTGGCTTCCACTATCATTTCTATGCAGATGACACGCAAATCTACCTGTCCTCTCTTGATCTCTCCCTGTCCCTCTTGACTTGTGTCTCTGACTGCCTCTCTGCTATTTCTAACTGGATGGCTTTCCTTAAACTAAACTTAATCAAAACTGAAATTCTGGTCTTTCCTTCTTCAAGTGTTGTTACTCCTGTGTCTGTCTCCCTCCAAGTCAACGGTGCTACCATCAGCCCCACCACGCAGGCTCACTGCCTAGGTGTTCTCTTTGACTCCGACCTCTCCTTCAAGCCTCATGTTCAGTCTATCGCCAAATCCTGCCATTTCCATCTCAAAAACATTGCGAACATCCGCCCCTACTTAACGCCTGATGCGACTAAGGTGCTGGTCCATTCCACTGTCCTTTCTTGCCTTGACTACTGTAAACAGCTTCAACGTGGTCTTACGTGCTCCCAACTTGCGCCATTACAGTCCATAATGAATGTGGGGGCGAGGCTCATCTTCCTGTCCACCCGCACCTCCCACGCCACACCCTTCTGTCAGTCCCTGCATTGGCTTCCTATAAGATATAGAGCTCAATTTAAAATTCTGGTTCTTGCTTACAAAACTCTACATAATGCTGCTCCCACCTATCTATCCTCCCTTATACACAAGTATGTCCCGTCTAGGCCCTTATGATCTGCTGAAGTCTTACGTCTATCTTCTGTCCGTACTCCCACCTCTGATGCTCGCCTTCGAGATTTCTCGAGGGCTGCACCGTTCCTGTGCAACTCTCTTCCCTCCTACGTTAGATGCTCACCCAGTCTCCACTCCTTAAAAAAATTGTTAAAAACCCACTTCTTCATAAAAGTGTATCAATTGAACTGTTAATAGTTCCCAACAGATTCCTCTTCTGCAATTGTCACTAGTCTAATACTATCCTTACCTTTTGTTGGCATTTTACCCCACTCCCTCTAGCTAGCATGTAAGCTCATTGACCAGGGCCCTCAACCCCTCTGTTCCTGTGTGTCCAACTTGTCTGGTTACAACTACATTTCTGTTCGTCCACCCACTGTAAAGCACTGCGGAATTTGATGGCGCTATATAAATAACATAATAATAATTATAACTATCAAAGACTGCCCTTGGATTGCAAAGACAAAGACAAGTTTATAAGAAAAAGAATGGAAATTCTGACCCCAAGACAGTAGGAGGAAAACTACTGCATTATTTTGAGAAAGGGCATGATATAACAGACAAATGGGTCTGAGGGTATCACATAGAACTCAACAGTCTTCCTTAAAAAGGTTTCATTTGTTCTACAGTTTAATTTCCAATCATGTCAGAAAATTTCCTTCTAGCAGTTCAAAACAGAGTTGTAGAAAAACTTCAGCCTGCAGACTACTTCAAATGGACTTACCCCAGACAAGTTTTTTAGTCCAGAAAACAGATTCCTTAAGACCAATTTTGGATCTCAAAAAAGTAAATTATCACATAAGAAAGAAAAGTTTCTGTATGGAAACCATCCTTTCTGCTGAGTTCAAGTTTGTTAGATCTCGAAGACTCCTATCTAAATATGCCAAAGGAAAGTAAAATGATTTTCTATTTCAGGCAAGCTTTTCCATTACCAGTTCAGAAGCCTACACTTTGGTCAGGTCTCCCATGTTTTGGGGCATTTTGTTCAGGTTAAAAGAGAACCTTCTTACTACTACAAACCCACCAGCTTTCGGCTAGAGGGGCCAATGAACAGCTTGAAACTCCAGAAAGTCTGCAAACTTCAGAGAACTGAAAGCAGTATGGATGGCTCCCTTAAATTTCAAACACACTGCATCAACATGTTCAGTTTCACCCAGAGAACACCACTACAGTAGACTACGGAAACAAACAAGGAGGAATACATTCATCTTCTATGGATTACTGAAGAATAATGTTGTGGGCAGAGTTAGAGTTTCCACCAATTCATGTGATTCCTCGAGTTCTATAGAAGATAGTTTGAGACAAGGCAAAACTGGCCCAGGAGAAGCTTTTCTCTCCTCATAAACCTGTTAAAAGGAACCTTCTTGCACCATCTTTTGTCAAAAAACATCTTGATATATGTCTGCATCTACAGACACTCAAGTCCTTAGGTCTAACTATATTCTCTTTTCAGCCAAGAGTCAACTGACAATTGCAACTCTTATTCCTTGCATCCTGAGTCTTTTTTCAACTAGGATTTGAATCAGACTTTCATGTTGCTTCTCTTATTTTGGTGGCCAGATTCTTCAAAGCAGTCTCCAATTTGATTCCTACTATTTGTTAACTCACTCCCCAAATCTCTGTTTGAACATTTTATAGGAATGTCCATTAATACTTTTGGGGGGAAACCTCAAGCGCTATCTGCAGTGATTGGAGAGGGTGGGATGTCAAAGACCTATCCTATCCTACACTCCCTCCACTCACCTCTAATGCTGTACATGGAAAAGATGAACTAAGCAAACAAATCATGAATGCCTCAGCCTAGCTACATGATGGGAAAGATTTACAAGGTGTGGGGGTGGTGGTGAGTGAGCATATAGACAATCAGGGAAGGACAGAATGAAAATGGGGTGGGGTGAAAAGAATTGAAAATGTGGGTGGACAGACAGAATTGGAAGGTTGGGGGTGGTCTGACTCTCCACCTGTCATTATATCGATCACCCCAATTTTAGTGTATGGGCAGGGACAGAATGAGAATAAAGGAAAGAGAGACAGAATGGGGGGGTTAAGGGGAACACTGAATGTGGACTGAGAATGGAGAGCGAACAGACTGAAAAAGGAGTTGGACTAACAGAATGTGGGCTTAAGTGGACTAATAGAGATTGGGTGGGTGGGTGGACAGACAGAATAGGAGCATTGTGATGGATTGTATGAAAATAGCCAAAATAACAATAGGACTAAAATACTGCAGAAAATTCAAACAAATATTTAAAAATATGCAAACACCCCTTAGTGAAACTCCTTTGGTAATAAAAGCACGTGAACCAGAGCCAAAACAACCGGCTCTGGCTTTGCAGGCTGTAAGGGAGAGAGTGAGGCCCTCTGATAGCGATGGATCTTCTCTGGATGCAACTGTTTTATACAGGAGAGAGTGCGCAATGAAATCAAAATAGTATAATACAGTTATAGCACAAAAGTTATTTAAATATATATAAAACTCTAACATAAAAAGTTTAGTTTTTGTGCACAAAGAAACTCACAAACTGCGCATAACATCATATGGTAGATTATCTCGCTGTGTATTACTAGTATTGTGAATGCCTCTGTCTAGGCAATTGACACTTTAACACGATTGATGGCGGTAGCTCTGCCCACTGTTTAGAAGTATCAGGTGTAGGAAAGTAGTCCATACTTTGAGGGAGACAGTGCCTCTTTCAAGTTGCCTAGAGGTTCCCACTGAGCCAGAGGAAGAAAATTGATATCTGGTAGGACTTGAATGCAATCTTCTCAATCTTTTTCTTTCTCTCTCTCTCTCTCTCTTTTTTTTTTTTTTCTCCATTAGGCAAACGATGCCTACCTACAGATGGCGATTGGGAATGCTCCCTGGCCAATTGGTGTTACAATGGTTGGTATCCATGCCCGTACAGGTCGCGAAAAGATTTTTTCCAAGCATGTAGCTCATGTGCTGAATGATGAAACGCAACGTAAATACATTCAGGTAATATTAATTTAACCAATTCAAACATTTTCTCTTCCTATTCTTTTATGTTCTGTTCTTCCAGGTGTCATCTGATTTTGTAGTTCTGGATCTTCTCACTAGATATTATAAAAAGCTTTCAATAAATAATTAAACCTATCCTCATTAGATTTCATCCCTCCATCCAATTTTCCCAAGCATCATTCTATCATTCTCTCCAAGCCAAATATGTGGTCTGTACCACTGTTGCTCCTATCACTTCCTCTTTTTTGACTGTTAAAAGACCTGATTATGGAAGTACCAAAGGTGGACTGTTCTGTCTGCAGTCCAAGTTGTAAATCCATCAGGAGACAGCACTCCAATATATCCATAAACTCCGTAAACCCAAAATGTTGTGAAGAAATTAATTAAATACCCTGCGACCTTGTGGTTTTTGTCAAGCCTGACTGTCAAGTCTAGGCTTTACTAAGTTTGCATAGTCGAAATTAGTCAAAATGTTGCCACGTTAATTTGTGGATGAAACTGGGTTCTAGATTGTGTCTGTCTGTCTTTTTTTTTTTTTTAATTTATTTTATTGTTATACCGCTCCTAAATGGCATGACAAAAGGAAAGAGTGGGATGGGCCAATAGATTCTCGGTAACCTAGTGATTACACGGAGTTGTAGTGAAACACTCTTTTGGGTGTTTTACCGATTTTTGGATTTTACACTCGTTTCTGGGTTTGAACCAACACAGTCCATTGTCTACTTTTAAAATTGGCCATTGGACGTGTGTTTTAAGAATTTGTACATCTATGGTTTTTGCCCAAGAGCAGAAGTAATTTAATATGTTTGTGGAAAGAGTAAGTATATATGAGGAACTCGTCAGATGTGAGTGATAAGCAGGTAAGAATGTGGTAGCCCTTATTTGTATGTCAGGTATACTTTGATATCTGCAGGGTGTGATTTGTCATTAGACAGAGTAGATACCTGCCTACTGGCACCTGTCCTTTTTACAGCACTTGTGTGCCTGCCTTTTTGGAGTTTGGCTGGTCTTGCAGGTGAGATAAATTTCAGCAGTGCCCTCGGTGGTTTAGCCATCTTCCTATACTTAATAACAGAGCAGCATAAACAATTGCTCCTCCAGTGTCTGTGTATGAGGTTGTACAGGACATGGAAAGTGTCACTAACCATCTGCCCACTAACAGCCTCTCAGAAAGGAAACACCTTGAAGGAGAAGCAGGGTCAGGACTGAGTTATGTGCACTATATAGCAGCTCCTGCTGTTCTACCATCAAAAATAGGAGAATGAGTAGGTTGCAAATAAACCGTCAAACTCCACATACCTGTACCCTAAACTACTCTTAAAAAATAAACCCCAATACTAAATTTAATCACACTCTAACCTTAAAACTTATCGTTTTAAAAAACCCTCATACCACAATTATAAACCTCTCTCAAACCTTTAATTCTCTTAAAGGGACACTGTAGTCACTATAACCACTTTGTCTCTTTGAATTGCCACAAAAAAAAGAGTCCCTGGACACCCACAGTCCAGCCCCTTCTGTATGTGTAGCTAAGGCAGAGATTACACACTTCCTTGTTGTCATACCCATTCATACCATCAGTTGGAGCTCTGACAGGTTAAAAGCAGTCAGCTGACACTCTCAGCCAATCACAGCTGACCATTGCTGCTCAGGGTAAAACTTCCTTATTAGCCAAAGCACCACAGAGGGGATGGATTGCCGGGGACTCTTGTTTAGCATTAAAACATTACAACATTAAAAACTGTTTAATGCTGAAAGAAATGATGGCACCAGGGGACTCCATACACTATAACCAGTTTAATGAGATGAAGCAGATACAGTGCTTACGGTGTCCCTTTAACACTAAAAAACCTGCTCCCCTGCACACACTTTACCCTTACCATTCTAACTTTATCTTTCCACTGCATACAGGTACTATACTAACAGATTCCAACAAAGGCCTTGAGTTAATAAGCTTTCCAAATGATTCAATACTGTTCGAAAATTTTTGCAAATGATTTATCTACAGAAGCCACCATTAACCCCTTAAGGACCAAACTTCTGGAATAAAAGGGAATCATGACATGTCACACATGTCATGTGTCCTTAAGGGGTTAAAGTCTATGTGGATTTTTGTTGCTGAATCATTTGAATGTTTTTTTTCTAACAGTATTGAATCATTTGTAAAACGTATTAAATAGAGGCCATAATACATTACAAAAATAAAAATATCCACATCTAGTTGTGCAGTTTTCAAATTAAGTATTTTTCTCATGCTGTTTTTATGAATGGGGATCTACTGATTGCCTTACAGCGTCAGCTGGTTTCTTGAGCAATCAATAGCACCCCTGTCTGAGGCATAAGGACAGGAGCAGAGATAAAGGCACTGAAGAAAAGACTTTAGGGTTAAACTGTTTGTGAACAGTTTAACCCCTTAAGATACGCCAGCGCTTCCAATGAAGATGTTATGGTGCCAAGAGTGTTCATTTAAATGTTCATTACATCCTAAATGTAAACAAAACATTTAGCTCAATGATAGATGTTCAAAAGATTTAATTCCCTTTTACTGGGCAATGCATTGGAATGTACTGTACCTTTTAAAAGAACAGCGCATAACAGATTTTATAATGACTTAAATTCTTTCTATCCGCTCTATATACCCAATACCCACCCTCTTTTTCATTGTTTCATACAGAAAACATTCTGCTTTTGTAAGTTCTAATTAATCAGAAGCTACAATCTAAAGCAATGTTTGTAATTGCATTGTGTGCTTTATAAATTAATTAGTGGTGGCAGAGGAAGTTTGATGAAATATCTCAGGAACGTTTGTGCTCTCAAACTGGCTGAGGCTTGCTGTAGTGAGTTCACAAAAGGAAAGTTGGGTGAGGCGACACATACTATTTATGGTATGTTTGGTATTTAACGAGTTATGCACTTTGAATTCTTTTCTGGAAGTTTACACCTTCTTTGTATACCAGAATATTTCTGGAAGAAAGCAACAACACTAGTAATTTAGGTATTTAAAATATACATTCTATTATTTGTGTCTTGGCCTAAAGGGAATTACAAGTGTTCTCTCATAGTTGGTGTGAGAGAGACCAGGATATATTGTAGTAATTATTTTAAATTCTTTCTTTTTACGGGCATGTGCGTCACAACTTCCACAAGAACATGTAAAGTAAGTCGACAAAGCATTATAGATACAAATGGCAGAGATAAGAAGATTCCCTGCTTTTGTTTTTGAACATAAAGACAGCAGCTTATGAAACTTTTGCAGAATAGGGATAATAATGCAACACAGAGCCAGCTAACCTAAAACCCCACAATAATTGAAGCGTAAAAGTGGAGGCTACAAGAAATAGGAGGCCTAAGGGGCCACATAATACATTACAGAACTAAATTTGGCGAGGGCGTAGAAATTCTTGTTAAGCAGAAAAGAGACTGTTAACCAGGGCTCCAATAAGCTGGCCACTTAACAGTGGCCACCAGGGGGTGGGATGTTGTAGAACACTAAGAGCAGTGCATACAAGGGTTCTGTAGAACCATCAAGAGAAATACAAGTTACAAATCATAGCTTATGAAATTAAAGCAAACCTCTGAGTTGCCCAAAACAAAATCCAGTAGCAGGATTAAAGCTGCAGAGCATCCTGTCGATCTATGTCTTTAAATTGTTGTGGAACAAATGCACAAATATTGGCTACATCGCAACTGGAAACCACAGGATCCACTGCAGGTGCAACACCAGAGGGAGGTGAAGGTGAGATTCCCAATGATTGCAGAAAAGCTGTAGATTCAGTTAAAGAAGCATCCTGCCTTTGAAAGCTGCTAGAACTTTGTGCTTGCATTAGGATACTTGGAATCGAATAATGACATCTCCTCTATCCAAACTGCTTCTCCTAGACCTTGATCATTTAAATTTACTTTTTGGCTCTGTCAACTAATGTATCCTTTCTTAAACTCAGGGCTGAAAAGAGAGTACATAGGTTTCTTTGTCTACCTGTCTGAGGCCTGTACCTTGATCTTCAGTAGGTAATGGTAGACTCTGAACATACATCACTGGGAAGGTGCTCTGGATCACAGACCCACCTTCCTCTAAGGGGGTTGAGAGCTATTACCCTGCAGGCGCCATCTTGGGCCTTTGTGGCCTGATGAACAAATAGCCATATGTGAAAATGTATTAGTCTTTCAAATGTTTCTCGGTAGTGTCTGGGAATGCCAGATAAATTGCAGTGAGGTTTGTAGACAAGTAGAGGCAGTAAAAAAGCCCTTAATAAAGCAAAAGTTGCAGAGCTCATATCCTTTTGCTAAAGTGCCAGTGCAAGTATTTTCTATATTGCCAACTGGTTTCACACAAGGCAATTGGGGTGGAAATATTGATTAGGGAGGGAGAGAGTGGGAAGTAAAGCTGTACTCTCTATTCAAACTTGATGATCTTAGCCAATCCAATGCTTTCCCAAAGTATGCTTGTTTATAATGTTAATGTTCCTCCATTTTTAGGTTTTTGTAAGTAAACTATTTGACCATACAAACACTTGTTGTAGTCTGTAGAAAACTGACTCATAATATTAATGTGTGTAAAGTGACAGCGCTTCAAAGCCCTTTGTTACGTCATTTTAGCACTATTCTGATAACATATCTAAATGTGTAAGACAATATGTTTGAAGAATAGCTCAGCTCTCTACAAACTTTATTTACAAGCCCAATCAGAAGCTTAAAGGACACCTGAGCTCATATAGTCTGTATGTTATAAAGGTATCAAAACTGTTGTTTTTTGTTTCAGACAGCAGTTAGCATGGTTAATTGTTAGGACCACTGGTGGCTTCAGACATTTGCAGCTTGATAAATTTTCCCTCAGTGTCTTGGGAGCAAACATAGGCTGTAACGTGCCTTTAAAACAGACAGTAGTAATATGCTTGCCTTTCTTTCTCCAGGGGCTGAAGAGATTAATGACAATTTGCCAGAAGCATTTTCCAACGGATCCTTCAAAGTGTGTGGAATACAACGCGTTGTGAAAGTGATTTTCTTACATTATATACATATTGTACTAGAGAGCTTCTTGGATCTCCTGCCAAATAATGTTGGGAATAGCACCATAGCCAACACCCAAACAACTCTGGCTTTCAGCGTTTCTGTTTTATAGAAATGTGTGCTATTTCAAACCATCAAATAATGACTCAAGCACGTTTGTGTTTAATGTGAGCCAGTAAGAGATCATTATTTAAACTATCTACATAAATACTATCCAAGTATTTCTTTTATGTAGAATTGGATTGTCAAACAAAAAATTTGAAAAATAAATGGTTTCTGACCTTGGCCACCTTTTGAGTGTCATGTATAGAGTTGCATTTGATACATTCTCTCTGCAGTTTCCTTTAGTCTAGTGACATCTGACTTTCCACAAGTGTTTTAAGCCACAATGAATGTTTATTGGATTATGTTTGTAGACTACACTTTGGGAATGGCACGATGTAATTAATGATGTGTCTTCACAGCAGTACAAATCACTAAAACAAGCCAAATTTAGGATTATTACAATTAACTTAAACCTACAACTTTACAACTGCCTAGAAATTATAAAAATTTAGACAAAAAACTCAAACCACAATTCTTTTTCTCTGTTTAATGTTCACTCATTCATTTTCTGGCTATATTGTTTGTGTTAAAAAAAACAAAAAAACTACGTATGTAAATGATTTAGCAACATGGCAAAAAGTTGGTTTGTTCTAAGGAACATTTGTAAAGGGGACAAAACTGGTACAACTCTAGGAATCGGATATAACTTGACAATGACAATGTGAATAACAATTCGAACAGTTCATTTCTAATATACACTGTTGGTCCATCACACGTTTCCCACCTGTCAGAAACAGACAGAGGATTGGTACTACCATGTTTTGTGATGGTAATCTATTTCTCGTACAGGACTGTAATTACAAGAATTTACTAAAAGAAGTCGAGTCCCAAAGAGAGATCTAAAAATCAAAAAAAGCCTTGAAAACATAACCCTTATTGGGTATAACCATTAAAGATTTACATCAAAATACGAAAAGTATGTATACACAAAATAAATGTGATTTGTGAACTGTGACCTATAGGAAAATATACATGGGGATGCTTGAACTTGCTACCAAGCCAGTGTACCATATGGGCTACCAGTGAAAGCCTACAGACTTAGAGTAATAAGGCCAGAAAAGGAGCAGAAAAATAAATCTTTATGTATAAAGTGGACAGTTGCTAAATTAAAATTTAAATAGAGGCTATATAATACCTCCACAGTATGAAGCTATATACACAGCGGCAGAGTTTGAAATCAAGTTACCAGCATAAGATACTATGTCCCTTCCTCAAAATTAACAAAGTACATCTGAACATAAAATACATCATCATTTAGTAGACTAGTGAAATAAGATAGATTGCAACCTAATCATGAAATTAACAAAAAACACCCACTGGGAATACCAAAGACCACAAAATATATAGTAATAAATAAAATATCACAAATCCCAGCTAGGTAGTATGGGTAAGTGTTAGGAGCCAGTCACAAAATAATGAAGTGTTTGAAGGCCGTTGGACGTTACAGTATAATAAACCGTGTTCTACTATAATGTTTGTCTATCAATGATGCCTATATAAGCCATCATGCTGGCACTACTACCCCCGTATCCCAGTGAGACTTCCCCATGCTGGTACAAGTGAGATAAAAACAACTAAAGATCGAAGCACCTTTTTATCCCGTCAATCAAACATATTTTTTAAGTTGCCCCACAAGAGCTTTACATAGCTTTATGTATATTAATCCATCAATAGGCATATCTACGACTTAACAGATTTCTACCCATCTGTTTAAGCCTGATTTATCCATTCATACTTAATATAGTCTGAGTCTATCAGCAGAATTATTAGCAATCGCTTTATTAAGTGCATTCAGAGGAGGGGGCATGCTGTATTGACATCTTGTTTTGATTGGTGGGATGACCTTAGTAAGGGGCAACCCTCACTGCTTTAAATTTAGGAGCATGTCTGGTGCAGCTGTCAGTGGCAGTAGATCCAGATGAAGGCGCCAGCGTGTGCCAACATGCGCATCGATATTTAAGATTTTTAATCTCACATAGGGAAGTCTCTATGATACAGGGATAGGGGGTAGTAGTGCCAGCTTGTATAGTTCACCAGTGGGATGGTGAGATAGGCGAGCATTATAGTAGATTACATTTCAGAATATGGTTATGTCTCAGTTGGCTTTCAAACACTTACCCATATTTCCTAGCTAGTTCACTTTGTGCTGCTGGCATTTCTGCTATTTTATATGTATTGGTCTTTACTTTATGGCAGGGCTTGACAAATTTGATTCTAGGAGCCAGCTAAAGAAGTTAGGAGCCAGATTTTTTTTAAAAACTTGCATAGCTTTATATTCAACGACAAAAATACAATTCTTAAAGGGACACGATAGTCACCAGGACCGCTACAGCTTAATATAGTGGTTCTGGTGTCTATACCCTGTCCCTGCAGGCATTTCAATGTAAACACTGACGTTTCAGAGAAAAAGCAGTGTTTACATTTCTTCCTAGTGACCGTTACTCAGAAGGTGGGATAAAAAGGTGAGTAAAAACGCCATTCCCTTGCGAACAGAAGGGGTCTGGTAACCTACACACACACACTTCATGATACACCATGACAGACAGACACATACCATGACAGACACACACACACGTATACCATGACAGACAGACACATACACTCACACACATACCATGACAGACACACATGCATATCATGAGACACACACACACCATGATAGACAGACATACACCATGACAGACAGTCCTATACATGCACACACCATGACAGATACACACACACACACACCCAGTGACTTACCGGAGTCCAGCGCCGATGTTCCTCAGCACTGGTCAGGCTCCGCCTACTCTCCTCCCTCGCCAACATCAACCGGCGGGGGAGACATAATGCTCATGCGCAGCAATGTATGTGCATTAGACCTCCCCATAGGAAAACATTCAATGCTTTTCTTTGGGGACGCTGACAGACAGCCACTAGAGGAGGACTTAACCCTGCAAGGTAAATATTGCAGTTTATGAAAACTGCAATAATTACACTTGCAGGGTTAAGGTTAGTGGGAGTTGGCACCCAGACCACTCCAATTGGCAGAAGTGGTCTGGGTGCCAGGAGTATCCCTTTAAGTTGCAGACCACTATTTGCCTGCTCTGTCAATTACAACAATTCATGTACAATAATCTGAGTCCATCATATCTTAATATTTTCAATTTATTTGCATATTGCTGTTTTCTCCTCTTACAGAGCTACTTTGTTGCTTTTGAGGAAGGGACATAGTATCTTACGCTGGTAATTTACTTTCAATTTCTACAGTTGTGTATCATGACAAGGGTACATAATTCATTGTTGCACTATAGAATAAAAACTTGAATTCCTCTTTGGCAGTTGTGACTTCAACCATAGCTTCTGCATGGTGTTGTTTCTAAATCTAGCTTCAATGTAAACTAACTGGCTAATCTACCATATGCCTATATCCCATCCTATTGTATTTATTTGATACGCTAAGTGGCCATTGCATTCTAGTGTCATATCAAAAAGAAACATTAATTCTAAGCCACATATGAATAATCATGCCTCCTTTTGTGCATAATTAGAATGGGGTAAGCACAAACTACAAAAATAATATAAATATGGCTAGTGCAGCTTAAGTCATTTGGAAGGAATTTTGAAGTCGGTTGTATTAGGTCACAAGTAGGAAGTGTAACATATGTATGGAAAACTTGCAACAAATTCAAAGATACAATCATTTATGTGACAAGCACAAAAGAGGAAATGAAATTAAATCAAAATTTTCTATTTGGAATGATGTTGGTCTGAAATACAAGGGGGAGGTCACTTATTTTTCTGTAGGTACACCTTCCCTCCACCAATACCACCACTGGGAAACTTGAGATGAATACAGGAGGTATAAATCTAATGATGGGCAAATGTCTTATGAAGGGCAAAGATCTAATTTTGTATGAGTCGCCATCTTTCCTTGCTGGAGTCTCCACCAGGCAGAAGACATTGCTACTTTTATAATCTAAGTGAGTAATTTCCAGTCTAGTGCAGACAAACTGTGAATTTTAACCGTTTCACCGCCAGAACCAAGTTGCGCGCACACTTTGAGTAGGCTGCATTCGTGACACTGTGTATATAACCTCCATTTAAAATTTAAATTGTGCAATTATTTCTGCTTTATACATAACATTTATTTTTCTGCTTTGTAACTCCTCTTATGGCCTTATTACTATAAAGTCTGTAGGCGTTCACTCAGAGCCCATATGATACATAGGACAGCAACTTCAACCACCCCCCATGTATATTTTCCTATATGTCACTGCTCAAATGTCACATTTATTTTGTGTACAGTTAGTTTTTGTGCTTTGATAAGCTCTTTTAATTGTTATACCCAAGAAAGTTCACTGGATTGTTTGATTTCTTTTTAGGGCTTTTTTAAAAGTATTTTTATTTTGGGTTAGAACCTATCTGCCTGTCAGCTATGCAATGGTCACTTTACAAGTGGTAAATTACAAGAACATTATCACCTTATGTACAGCTTTACAATATTGTTACCCACATGAGCATGCTGTATGGGTTTGAAAACAGGATAATTTACTAAAGCGAATTTCAAATTTAAACCCTTAGGGGCTTGTCTTACGCTTAAGGACACAAGACATTTTTTGCTGTTTGTGTTCAAACACAATTTGCATCTCTGTCATTTATTGCACCAACACATATTATACCTTTTTTTTTTTTTTTTTAGAGGGCTTTAATTTGATGTCACATATAACATTTAACATTCTCATTAATTATACAATTAATTCTCATTATTTATTTAAAAAAAAAAATGCCAAAAAAACATTTTCACAGTTTTGGCAATAATAGCGTGTGCATAATATGTCCAGCTTAGAAAAAGTAATTCAAAATAAATTCATTTATGTGTCTTGATTTATAGAGTACATCATATGTATAGGATTTCAGCTTATTTTGAAAGTTACAGGTCACAAAATACAAGGACTAAAATAAAATTTCAATTTGCAACAATTTTAGAAGTTGGTATGTTTTTCTTGTAGGTTTAGTAGCCATCACAGAAACAAAATTGCCACACAAACGTATATATTTATATAAAGTAAACATCACAGGCTATTTACCTAATACTTTTTACGTATCCATTTCATCGCCAATCTCTGCTAAATATTGAAGTAAAATTGTGTTTTTTCTTTATTTTGGCATATACACACATAAGAATATTTTTGTAATGTGTATTTCGTAAAGCTGGTGTGTGCTATTCCTGCACAAAACCCCATATTGTGTTCAGCTACATCTGCTGAGTAGAACGATAACCACCATTGTATGCCTTTGGCACTTGTTTGTAAAACTACAATGCCATATAAGAGAGAAGGCTTTTTCAGTTTCTATAGTTAGAATTTTCATAGATGGATTTGACGGGCCTATGTCTCATTGTAGGGTATTCTAGCAGTGTGACTGTTCAAATAACCCCACAAAAGATTTTCATTTGATAAAGCAGACACCTCAGGGTATCTTATATGGTGTATATTGTGCCTTAACTTGTCACCATTTTTTCACCAATTTATATCAATGTTTGTGGTGGTGTATGTTGCATTTTTGCTGAGTATTTCTTACACTTAATATGTACCACTGTCATACAAATCCCCAAATTATGCTCAGTTACATCTTCTGAGTTAAACAATATGCCCAATGTATGACCTAGACACTATTTTGTGAAGTTACAGTGCTGTAAAAGAGACGTGACAAGTTCAGATTTTTGTGTGAATTTTCATGGAGGGTTTTGATATGTCCGTGTCCCACTTTGGCGCACTTGAACAGGCTACATATTACAACTACACCATAAAGGCATACCATTTCTTAAAGAAGACATCCCAGGGTATGTCAAAAGGCATATTTTGAACCTTAGCGTGGAATCATTTTTCCGCTAGCTTGTACCAAGTGTAGTGGTAATAAGCATTTTTCTGCCTTTTTGACACACACAGTGAGTTTGCACAGTATATTTTGCAAACCTTATACGTGGTACCACTGTATAATACTTTATATGTTTCTCAGCTATGTCGTCTGAGTACAGCAATACCCCCATATGTACCTTTGCCAGGTATATGTGGACATGGAAGGGGCACATTTGAGACAGTCAATCCATTTTTTTTTTTTTTAAACTTTGAATTTTTACGCTGTGTCCATGTCCCATTTTAGAGTATTTTAGCAGGCTATATAATCCAACTACCCCATAAAGGCACACCATTTCTTAAAGAAGACATCCCAAGGTATTTCAAAAGGCATATTTTGATCCGTGGGATAATTTTTTTCTCTAGTTTGTTCCAGGTGTAGTGGTAATGGGCATTTTTAAATTTATTTTTTAACTTTTTTTAAAACTAGTTTTTAAACTTTTTTTTTGCTTATTAATTTTTTTAAACTTTTCGAAACTTTCTTAAAACTTTTTTTTACAGATTTAATATTTTTATAAACTTTTTTTTTTTTACCATTAACCCCTAACTAGCAGTAAGCAGCACTAACCGTAAATTCCCTGATTTCCCATAACTCCCACCCACCCCAGCTAGCAAAATATATCATTTTAAAATATTAAAATAATTAATTAAATAATTGAACACCTGAGGGTTAAAAAAAAAAAGGGGGGTTAAAAAGTAATAATTGCATCACAGTAGAATACTGTGATCTGTATTTAGATCACTGTAGGTAGTGATCAACTGGCAGAGAAGGGGTTAATTTTTGTTAGGACTGGGTAAAGGGGGGTGGGATTTTTTATAAAAATTTTTTTTTAACTTTTTAAAACTTTTTTTTACCGTTAACCCCTAGCTAGCCTAACACCAAATTCCCCTCTAACTTCCACCCACACCAGCTAGCTAAATATATTATTTTAATATTTTAAATTAATTAATAAAATAAAATTAAGAGTTACAAAAAATTAAAAGTTGACCCTCAGGGGTTAAAAAAAAAAAAAATAATAGTAATCCGATCACAGTAAAAATGTAGTCCTTGCCAATGGATCACTATAGTCAGTGATCAATTGGTAGGGAACGAGTTTATTTTTATTTAAAATGGGTAAAGGGGGGGTGGGGATCATCACTATTCCATCTCCCTGCACTTCACACAGAACACGGAAGAGCAGGGAGGCGTATGGTGAGTCTGCTAACACAGAGGCAGACCAGAGGAGCGTTAATGCCGCGATTGCAGCGATCTGGGGTTAACTTTACCTCATGATGGACCCGGTCCATCATTCGGCGTTAACTGTTTCTCCGCCATGACGGACCAGGTCCGTCATCCGGCGGGAAGGGGTTAAGGCCAAGGTGAAAGCACAGGTGACAGAGAGACTTTTTCCAGTTTAGCTATTTTGATCTTATATCACTTTGAATTTGCACCTTAGTGAATAGCTCTGTCTTGTTGAACGTTAAGTTGTATAGTGGGGAGCTTTGCAACACACAGTTTGATAGGTTTAGGGCTAGGGGACCTGGACATACCAAGAACACAATAAAGACTTTCTGATTAACCTAGATGCCAAAATGTATTGGAGTTACAAGAATGTGAATTGTCTATAGCTGACTTCCATTTTGGAAATGTTTTGCTTAAATTTGCAATTCACTTTTAATTCCCCAAAAATTCTTACTTTAGTGAATAGTCCTAATTCCCGTAAAGAACACTATTTCAGAGTCTAGTTGGGCGATTTAACTATATTTCTTACCAGATCGCTAGACTGTAAGCTCGTTTGAGCAGGGATCTCAACTACCGATTGTTCCTGTTACATTTTGTTATTGTCTCATTTGGTAATTTCCTCTCTTATTGTAAAGCGCTGCGGAATAAGCTGGCGCTATTTAGATACCAAAATAATAATAATAATAAATGTTAAGCCATGCCACCACATACACTTCTCATAGGATGCTATCATGACAGAGGGATTAAAGAAAGATGGTTGTTGTAGAGATATATATATATATATATATATATTATTTAAAACATTAAAGGGGTACGATAAGCACCATAACTACAACCACTCTTTTGTAGTTTACTAGGTATTTAGAGACTGTGGGTACCACCCTCCAATAATGTAGCAAACCATTTTCAAGTTTGACACAAACCAAAGGTTCAACTGACAATCAATGCAGTCCAAATTTGGAAAAACATAACATTGCTAATGAGAGAATAACTTGAGGTATTGATATGCCAGGGCACATGTGCCTAGGTGACCCCCGAGCTTAATTTAAAACTGTTGAAAAATAGTTTGATGCAGAACTAGGGAAAAGTACCAGAAAATTGGTAGTATCAAAATAACTATAAGCTCTATGCTACCATCACAATCTGGTCCGTAAAATTCATATGCCAGTGTGGAATATCCGCCTCTTTTGGCACTGGCAACTCTGATTAATGTGATGTTTATTTTTGATATGTAATCTTTAAGCACTATATTTTTATTACTGAATTATTCCGTACTATAATGTGAGTTAAGCTCACATTCTTGGGGCACTGTAGTTACCAGAACCACTACATCTTCATCCCATTGTACAGCGCTATGGAATTTGCTGGCGCTAAATAAATATAATAATAATGTAGTGGTTCTGGGACATATAGCCTGTCTCTGTATGTTTAGCACTGTAAATAAAAGGAAAGGCAGTGTTTACATTGTTCAATGTCACTCAGACAGCCATTAGAGGGACGTCAGGGGTTTCGTCTTGCAAAGACGGCAGGACAGATTCTCAACAAATCCATGCTTTGCATGGAGACACTGAACTTTTCCCATAGAAATGCATTGATTCAGATGTGGCAATTTTCCAGGCATGCAGTCTAGCTTTCAGATGTTAAGACTGATTTAAACACAATTAAAATAGGCACTGTGGTATTATGCACTTTTTTGCACTTTTTCTTTTGAGCACATTATTATTATTATATTTATATAGCGCCAACAAATTCTGTAGTGCTTTACCATGGGTGGACTCAGGGCCGGTGCAAGGATTTTTGGGTACACAGGCGAAGTTTATTCCCCCGCCCCTCCCCCTCCGCCCCTTAAAAAAAAAAAAAAAAGCATCTTCACCTGTGTGCCTCTTAACCCCTCTTTTGAATGTCTTACCCCCTTTAGTGTATCTTATGCCCTATTTTTTCCCCATTGTGTGTCTTACACCTCCCTTGTGTATCTCTTACAACCCCACTTTGTGTGTCTTACTCCCCCCAGCCCCTTTGTGTTTCTCCTTCTCTTCCAGCCGCTTTGTGTCTTTTACTCTTCCCAGCTCATTTGTGTGTTTGTTTCATCCTCTGTGTCTCTTTCCTCTTCTCCAGCCCCTCTGTGTCTTTCACCCCCAGTCCCTTTGTGTTTATCCTTCTCTCCCTGCCTCTTTGTGTCTTTTACTCTTCCCAGCTCATTTGTGTGTTTCTGTTTCACCTTCTGTGTCTCTTACCTCTTCTTCAGCCCTTTGTTTTTCCACCCCACAGGCCCTTTTGTGTGTCTCTTACATACCCAGACCCATCTGTGTGTCTTTCTACTCCCTCATGTCCCTCTGTGTTTCTTTCTCCCCACTCAGGCCCCCCTGTGTGCCACTCTCCCCTACATGTCCCTTAGTGTTCCCCTCCCTTTCATGTCCCTTACTGGTGCTCTCCCCTCCCTGCCCCTTAGTGGTCCTCTCCAGAATTTACAATAAAGGTTAAACATTAGATCTCTCTTTACATGAACTGTTTAGGGAGGCTTTGCAAGTCACAAGTGGGGAGGTGTGACTAGTGCTGTTTGGAGAACTCTGAGGACACCACTGGTGGTTTGTCCCTAAATGTGCCTGTATTTATTGTGATAATGAGTTTTTAACTTTAACATAAAAAAAAGAAGAAACTATTAAGAAAGAGAACACTACCCAGTTATTCTCTCTGTATTAAGTAACCACCTTAGGGAATGCAGCACCTATTGAAATTAAAATTAGGGCTATCCTTGAGTTTGACATATTCAGATGGTTTTTTTTTTTAAATAAACTAATTTTGGGTGTTTATTATTGTTATTTCTATATTAATTGCACTTAATT